TCGAGTCAGTTCCCGAGTTTGATTACACCGTGAATGACAAGCCTAACCCTCGTGGTGAGCTTCTCCTCCGCGGTCCCGTCATCTTCCGCGAGTACTACAAGAACGCCGAGGAGACCGAGAAGACCCTCGACGCCGATGGTTGGTTCCACAGTGGTGACATCTGCGAGGTTGACAAGATGGGCCGCTTCAAGATCATTGATCGCAAGAAGAACGTTCTCAAGCTTGCTCAGGGTGAGTACATCTCCCCTGAGCGCATTGAGAACGTCTACATGGGTAGCACGAACCTCATCAACGCCGCCTATGTTCACGGTGATGGTACTCAGTCCTCATTGGTCGCCATCTTTGGTATCGACGTTGAGAACTTTGCCCCTTTCGCTAGCAAGATTCTCCAGGAGACCATCGCACCCAACCAGGTCGCCGATCTCCGCCTCGCCGCTAACGACCCCAAGGTGAAAGCCAAGTTCCTCAAGGTCCTCGACGGCATTGGCAAGAAGCACAAGTTCAACAGCTTCGAGAAGGTGCGCAATGCCCATCTTGAAATTGATCCTTTTACCATCGACAACGGTCTATTTACCCCTACGTAAGTTTTCCCCCTAATTTTGTTTGGAGTATATGCGCTGACGTTGTTACTAGGCTTAAGCTTAAGCGCCCCCAGGCCGCCAAGGCCTACAGGGAGCATATTGACCGCATGTATGAGGAGCTTGCTGCCCAGGAGCCTGTTGGAAAGAACAAGCTGTAAAATATGTTGTGATTATCAGCTCAAAGATGTGGTTTTTTTGGCGTTAGAGCTGCATTCCAGATTTTCTATATATGTTGAAGATGTTGAGCGGCTTGAACTTGTAAATGAATATTACAGTATACTGTCAATGCATAGCTACTTATTGATTAATGCTTCCTTACTTCTTGAAAGATATTTTTCCACCTAATACTGGACTTTTTGAAAGTGTTATACAGCCTACGTTCTTGATCTTCTTAATGTATATTCTATACTATAATACCTTATTCTTATAAACTCTTATTTAAAAGTAATATTTTAGCTAAAACTGTTTTTTAATATATTATTATATCAATATAATAAGTTCTAAAGCTTTATAAAGCCTTAGAGAAGTAATATTTTTAAGAATTTTAATAATATAATATTAAAATAAATAAAAGCCTATTAAAAGTTAAAGTTTTTAAAAATAAGCTAAATTAAGTCATATAGCTAGTTTATATATTAATAGACTTATAACTTAGTAATTAATAACTATTTTAACCCTAACTATAAATAGTAGTCCGGATTAATAGCTTCTCCTTCTTTAGGCTTACTAGACACTCTTTAATGCTTCTAACCCACCTTATCACCGCATCAACGCCATATGGGGCCATGAAGTAAGTGATTCACGTCCTTTACGCGTTTAACGTCATATTTTTGGTCCTTTTCCCTTCTTATTCAAATCCTCGACGCGTTTCCTGATGGGTCTAGGGCTAACAACTACAAGGTCGCTCGTCAAGCATGGCGGCATGCCACATGCACCTATATCTATACTAAATAGCCTCCCGGTACCCTGCGATGAACCACCTCCGAAACGGAGACGCGTTAGTACAGGCCTACAGAGAAAGCGAGGCGTCAAGGAGTGCCTCTTAAGCCAGGTTACGCCGCTTGTAGAGAGGGCTGTTGGGCATCTCTCGAGGGATGTTTACCATGTTAACGCCCTGGCTATCAAGGTAACAAAGAAGGCTCTATATGGGAAGGCTCTATGGCTAACTAGGGATCTAGACGGTAACGGAGCTCAGCATCAACAAGTTCTTTAGGAGAAGATGGGACGAGACGGGTGGCTACTTGAGTCAGCAGGATCTAGACGTGCTTGCGATCCAGGCGCATGATGTTGTTAGGGGTCTTGCGGGGGGTTCTGTGGGTGTGACGAAGCCACAGCGGGAGCTTGTTTGCTAACATTTGCAAGGAGTTTCGCATATCCCCTCTATCTTCAGAAACACCAGAGCCTCAGCTCTTACCACCACCGAGGTCAACGCCGAAATCTCAGCCGCAAGGACAAACAGCACCGACGATCGTGAAGACGGAAGCAACGAGAAAGTCTGAAGACCGGGACTCTCCCATATTCTACGACGCGCTCACGTCGCAACCCTCACATCAACCAGAGCTTCCTCAGAATGTCGAAAGGAAGCCTTATAAACCTCGGGAGCGACGGGAACCGAAGCCCAGTAACCGCTATTACCAGATTTCCGAACGACCCTACCTTTCGGCAGCGCATCGCAAAGCTATTGAGGAGGGAGCAAAGAAACCGGTGGCTGTTAACAATGAACTTATCGCACAACCCATTGTCTACCATGTGGACTTCAGCCCTGAGGAGATCGCCGAGATTATAGGCCAAATATCACAAAATGAGAACAAGTACATACCGGCAACCCGCGAATCTATGATGGAGCAGATCCGACTACGAAATCGCCCTCTGATACCGATACCTGGACGAAGCATACGAGACATGAGCGCATTTGCTTCGGACTTGTGGGCAGGAAAGGTCGCAGAGACACCACGAGTCCTTTCGTTCACTGCTGAGCATGTTACGGAGGAGACAAAAAAACAGCAAGGTCAAATGAGAAGGACTAGCAGGCTTTCGTCTTTGTTGATGGCTCGAGAAATGGAAGGCAACCAGGGCTTTCAACGCACTCGGGAATATCTGAACTTCCAAGCCGAATTTAAAAGATTGGGCGAGGACGATCTCCTGGTTGTAGCTGAGTTCACCAATTGCGCTGGTGATATCACCACAGGTGCATGGGTCTCGAGAGAGAGCTTTCTATGTGGCACTACTACACACTCTGATACGCATAACCAACAATACAACAGACCTGGAAACTTGCTCCTTTGTTCAACTGGAAAGGGTACGCTGCGGTCCTTCCCCGATCACCGAATACCTCGTCCACGGGTCGAAAAGGGGGGGAATTCCACAGAGGCCATGCGCCAGAGCCAGGACCCTTGGCTATACTCATCAGTCGTGTCATGCGACTACAGCGCTGAAGATGACTTAGCTTATACGTCGAGCTTTGATAAGACGGTCAAAGTATGGAAGGTTGACCCGAAAGGAGAACACATGGAGGCCATTGCAACATGGCAACATACGGGCAATGTCAACTTCGTGGCTGCTGCAGAGGATGGATCTGGTCGCGTGGCCACGGCTGCAGATTCACCAACTGATGCCGTGCGCATCTACACCATTACGAAAGGAAATGAGTCGAACAGTACCTACCAGACGTTCTCATGCTCACGAACTGATGCTGATGGCTCAGAGAAGTGGGCATACTTCCCAGCAACAATGCAGTGGGGACGAGCTAAGGGCTGTCAGCATTTGCTTCTTGTTGGGTATTCTCCTCGCAGCTTGACAGGCGACGATCTAGACATTCCCGAGGACAAGAGGAGTTCAGGAGAGATTATCCTCTGGGATGCGGAACAGGGTGTTCGGATCCCTGTGATGACAGCTTCAACGGCTAACGTCTTCGAAGTCGCCTGGCATCCAACGTTACCCCTTTTTCTGGTGGGGGTAACACCTACGGGGATGAACAACGTTCCCCGCAATGTCAGAACACAAGTCCACGTATTTCATCGTGACAAGGATCGCTTGAATGGTATTGGATTTTGTCAGCATCAAGCTCTTGACTGCTATGCTTCTGACATCAACGAGCTGACGATTGTGCCCAACTCACCTGGGCACGCTTACGTAACTGCGGCTTGTACCGATGGAAAGGTTTATATATGGGACACAGCACAGGGTGACAAGCCCATCCACACGTTGCGACATGGAAAACCCATTGAAGAGTATTACGGCGATCGCGAGAAGGAAGACACGGGCGTCAAGTTCACGGCGTGGAATACGAGCCTTGATCGATTCTACACTGGATCGAGTGACGGTGTGGTGAAAGTCTGGAATGTCCGCAAGCTGAAGAACCCCTTTGTCCGTGATATTCTTACAGCCCCTGGACCGATCGCTTGGGGCGGTTTCTCACCGGACAACTCCAAGCTTGCCATCGGTGATGCCACAGGCCGTTGCTTCATCTTGTCAACTGATGAGCGGGATATCCCAGAATCGCACATGATGACACTTCCGGGCACCACTCGGCGTCGGCGCCGGCCTATACCCCTGATTCCACACCCGGAACCGGCTCCACCCACCCCGGCGAGGGATGACGATGAAATGCTCACCGATGATGAGCTTTCAGACGCAAATATCGCCGATTATTCGAGACGAACATATTTCGACAGCCAATGTCTAAAGCTTACATCAAACCCAGTTATAGGCGTTGTACAAGGCCCCCGCTACCAATCCACCAACCTCTACCGCCGAGAAGCTCACTATGATGAAGACCCCTCAGCACCTCTCCTGGCTCATTTCGAGCGCCGGCAAAAAGATAGCGAGGCCGCTAGTCTCGGCAGAAGACGCCGTTCATTGCGTCGACTTAGAACCCCTTCACCACCAGATGAGCGTCTTCAGAGAATCCATGCTCAAAATGCGAGCAAGGACTTAGATGTGAATCATTTAGAAGATAGTGAAGTGAAAGAACTTGTTAAGTCCGCTACGTTGCTAAGTATTGAGGAGGACTGGGGCTTTATATATGAAGAAACCATGAGCTCTGATGAGGACGCTTGATGGAAGTACTAGCTATTGAAGAACAGCATCTTGGGGTCCTATATGCAGTACTTAGCCGTTAATTAACCCAACAGCATATTCTACGTTGAATTTCCTTAATGTTGTTATATGTCGACCTAAAGCCCTATAAAAGTGAAATTAGGAAGAATATGGGCACTTCGGGCTGTTTTAATTCCAAGAAGCAATTATCATGCTTCGCTTCCTGAGGCCTAAGAACTGAGATTGGCAAGCTTCGTTCTCAACTGGCCAACCCCACTACTCAACGCTCAGACCCGAAACAACCCGAGCTCATAGGTTCAAGCTCAACAATATCATGGCAGCTTCATGATAGGAAGAAATCATGACAATTGCATAGAGGCTAGTAAATTAAGGTATTCTTACTGAGATGGTATGCGTGATCTGCAGTCATTTGAACCATAGACTCCAAACAAAGGTCATTACTAGTGATAAAGAATGAAACATTGCGCATTTGTTTTCTCTATTGAAGTCAAACCCACAGGGTCCATGACTTTGTACAGCTAACTATCATAGAAAGATAATCTTCAAGGCGCGAGCACCTCCTTTGCGACAGCCTTTTTACAGGCTTGTGTCATTACATCAGAGATATTCGAATCCATACATTAGACAATCCATACATCAAGCTCACCATGAGCGATATTTTCAAACCAGATTCCTAAACGCCTTCTAATGCTTAGCGGTGACCGACTCGCCGGTCAGCTTCTCAACATAAGTCTTCGCCCTGTAGTCGTGCGGTTAGTGTCGGTCGAACCTCAGTAAAGCGGGTGAAACTTACATATCGCCAAAAGCAACCATGCAGACAGTCTGCCAAATACCAAGAGAAATACGGGGAGCGATACCACGGTAAAGACCCCTGACGCCGTTGGTCTCGTAAATGTACCTGAAGGTGTTGCCGACCGTCATCTTCTTGGGACGGTTGGGATCCTCCTTCTTGCTCTGCATCTCAACGCGGATGACCTCAATGGGCTGGTTCCAGGCGCTGAGACCACCACCAAGAGCACTGGCGATGACCTTCTCACCAGCGGACAGCTTCTCGCCCTCCTTCTTGCCAGTGAGAGACTTGATCCAACCCTCAGCGAGACGGCTGAGACCGAATCGGCTACCCCAGTTGGTCATCTGTCGGATAGCAACAGCGTTGACACCCTTGTTGATGCCACGAATACCCTCCTTGCGGTAGATCTCAGCAAAGGTCTGGAAGGTAGACTGGGGCTTGACACCGGAGGCAGCCATCTTGTGCTTGGTGATCTCGACCGTCTTCATGCAGGTGCAGAAACCCATGGTGGCGTAAGCCTGGGCAACACCACCGGTGACACCACCAAGGATACCGCCGCCAAACTCAGAGGCACCAGCGACACGGGCGTAGTACTCGGCCTCGGAGGCGACGAACAGAAGGACGGCGCCCTTGCTGGAAGCTTCAATCCAAGCCCAGGGGATGAGACCTTGGTAGACTGTGGCATGTGAGTCAGTAAATAGTCAGGAGTGCATCGAGTTTGTGGTTATCAACTTACAGCCCAGGGGACCACCGCGGGCCCAGACGCGTCCCAAAGCCGCAGCCATGCTGTCACCTCGGTTGGCAGCCATGGTGGTCTTGACGACCTCGAGAGGCTGTCCGAGGGTGGTCACTTCGAAGAGGTTGAGACCAGCGCCGAGAAGCAAGTTGGAGAACTTGATGGGCTTCTTCTCCAGCTGCTTGTCCCCAATGGGAGCTGGAAGATCGGTACGGATAGTAGCAGCCATGACTTTGGGAGTGTCGTAGAATAAGGGCCCTGACCAAGGGATTAGGGTGCTTCGTCGCTGGGGAAATTTGAGGGATCGTTGAAGTATTGAGAGAGGTTGATGAAGGAGGAAGAAAAGAAGTGTACAAGAATTCGGGAAAGAAAGGGAAAAGGGAGAGCTAGAGGCGTGTGCTGTGCTGGGACTGGTTTACGTGGGGGGGGGAAGGAGCAGTACCCGGGAGAGCTAGGGATTGAGGGACTGTCGGTACGTACCGGTATTGAAGCACACCTAAATGCTGAGTCAGATCCAATGAAAACAGTTGAATGGATGGCTGCAAAAGCGCTGGGCTGAGGCTAAGCAGAATAAGCTTGGGGGCTCCCCGGAGAAGTAGCCGATTTATCGGAGGGGAAATACCAACAATAGATGGGGTTTTCCTGCGGTTGCGGAGGTCAATCGCCGAGGTTGAAGCTGTAAATGGAGATAGGCATGCGCGAGAAGACCCGAGCTTAGAGAGTAGTTAATCAATCATGTTTTGCATGTGTTTCGGTGCGTGTTTCTCGTTTATTTTGGGTAAAGCCACTGTACTTACTCATGTTGGCACGTTTATGAGGCTGACGACGCTATTCAACAGGCTGAGAGCCACAACACTATTCTTAGAAAACAACGAGAAAAAAGGAAGAAAATGCAGTCAAATATCATCTATAGTAATTTTTCATAATGCTGACCTTTCTCCGAATAATCAATTGACCCTCTTCGGAGACTTCTCTTCCTTGTACGACTTGATTCCAGCTCCGAAAGTCTCGGATCGCCGAGATCAAGTCACCGAGATCAGATCAGCTCCCGTGGATTGTATTGGATCTCTCATGTGAAATCGGAGTCCGGGGGTGGATGGCCTGGGGTTCAATGGCCGACAGAGAGATCCCGCGGGAGCAGATTTGCTTGTGATAACGATTCTCTAGATTCTTCTCTAGATTCTTCTTCTTTATTCATAAGACTGACCAAGCCCACCCACTTCTGAAGCTCTCCGTATTTTCACTCACACCAAAAGGTCCAGATTGCTTACAACTGCTGAGCACAGTTATCATAAGCTCACAAGTCTAGACCTCAACAACTAACAGCTAACCTGCTTCACTATCACTCACAGACTACAGACAATTCACTACACCTTGAAACATACATCTTCAACAATCAATCCAACAGCTTCGCAGCTCTCTTACTTCCCCATTCGGTAATAACCTCAGCCACCCCCCGAAGATCACAGCTCTCACCTCTATTTTCGTCCCCCCTGTGGCGCCGAATTAGAGGGACCTGGAGCTCTCAACGCCCCTCCTCCACCCAACCGATTGAAGGAATGTCTAGACTGTTGAGAGCTCGGGTCCCTGAAATGGACGGATCCCGCATGGGATTTTGTCGGTGTAATCTCTCACCGAGACTACGTGACGTACTCCGTACATGTTATTCACTTGTCACATTTACGATGCAGGGGTTTTCTGCAGACGGGAGAGAGAATTCAACAATTCTTGAGTCTCCTTGAAAGTTTGAACCAGAACCACGGGCATTCTACTGGCGAGTTGTCCCGGCTCGCAAGGCTGGCTAATGTAAGAAACTTTCAATGGGGTCAACATTCCCGTCTCCACCAAAGAAAAAAAAGTTCGAAATAACGACGCTATCACGGCGTGAGTGAATATGCTGTATGGCAACATACAATTTACTCAATTGTATTTACAAAGAGCTCAATTGCGAGTCATGACATGGAACCAGTTCGTAGACACGAGGAACTTTGCAGATTAACTGTTAAATCATTTCATTTCAATCGGCGCGCCGCGACGACTTGCTCATTACTAAACTAAAACAGTCCCATTGTGTTGTACAAATGCCATTAACTCGGCAATCCATTCTGCCCATCTTCTGAGCATTATCCTCCCGTCTCCTTTTTCCCTTCCATTTTTAAACTCCTTACAGCTTCTTGACAAGCTCGGCCCACTTGTCAGTGGAGAAGGACTTGGGTCGCTCAATGGGGGCACCGAGAGCGCGGTCGATGATGAGCTGGGGAAGAACACCAATGGCGCGAGAGACACCGAAGAGGACGGTGTAGTAGTTGGCCTCAGTAAGACCGTAGTACTGGAGAAGGACACCGGAGTGGGCATCAACGTTGGGGTAAGGGTTCTTGGTCTTGCCATGCTCGGTGAGGACACCAGGAGCAATCTTGTAGACCTGGGAGACGAGCTTGAACATGGGGTCGTTGGGCATCTTCTCCTGGGCGAAAGCGCGCTGAGCCATGTAACGGGGATCAGTCTTTCGGAGGACGGCGTGGCCGTAACCGGGGACGACACGGCCGGCGTTGAGGGTAGACCAGAGGTAGTCGGTGATGGCCTTGTCGCTGAGATCGTCACCGACAGACTTCTTGAACTCGGTGAGCCAGTTCAGGACCTCCTGGTTAGCAAGACCGTGGAGGGGGCCGGCGAGACCGTTAAGACCAGCGGCCAGAGAGAGGAAAGGAGAGCTGAGAGCACTGCCGACAAGGTGAGTGGTGTGGGCAGAGACGTTACCACCCTCGTGATCGGTGTGGATGGTGAGGTAGAGACGCATGAGCTCAACGAAGTCGGCGTTGTCGGCGAAGCCAAGCTGGTTGGCAAAGTTGAAGGAGTAATCCTTGTCCTTCTGGATGGGAGCGACCTTTCCGCCCTTGAAGACGTTCTGGTAGATGCGAGAAGCAATGTTGGGGAGCTTAGCAATGAGGTCCATGGAGTCCTCGAAAGTGTAACCCCAGTACTCCTTCTTGTTGATACCCTTGGCGTAAGCCTTGGCGAAGCTGGAGGTGTGCTCGAGGGCGGTGACGGCCAGAGAGAACTGAGCCATGGGGTGAAGGTCGGTAGGGCAGTGGTCGATGAGCTCCTCGACGAACTTGGGGAGATCGGAGCGGGCAGCCCACTCAGCGGAGAGGTCGCGGACCTGCTGCTCAGTAGGAACCTCACCGGTCAGGAGAAGCCAGAAGAGACCTGCGCGGTTTAATGTCAGTATTCATGATATTGCGAGGTTTTGTGCGCATTGCTGCGACTGGGCTGAACTCACCCTCGGGAAGAGGCTCCTTGCCACCGGGAGCCTTGGGGAGAAGCTCCTGGCACTCGGGGATGGTCTTGCCACGGAATCGGATACCCTCCTCAGAGTCGAGGACGGAACCCTCCCAGACGAGGGCCTTGATGCCACGGGCACCACCGTAGACCTGGTCAAGAGTGACCTTGTCGACGACCTTGGAACCATGCTCCCTATGTGAATGTTAGTTATCAAAGTTCAACTGCCGGTGGTTATGTCGTCGTTTGCAAGCTTGAGGCTCGGCGTGGGCCCTAGCTCGGCAAACAATGAACCGAGAGGAGAGAATGCGACTGACTTTCGGAGGGCCTTGACCTGCTCAATCTTCTCGGGCAGCAACTCGGCGAATCGCTCCTTCAGGGTCTGTGAGGATAATCGTTAGTATATATCTTGTGTGTTTTGTGTGGGCGATCATGAGTGTCAAATGGGTAACGTCCATGACGTTTTAGGATCCATGAAGCTTGGGTTTGTGCTTTATCCGAGGTTAACATACCTGAGTCTTAGCCGAATAGCATCGAACGGCGTTGAAGACAGAGCCATTGATAGGAGTAGAGCGGAGGGAAGCCCGCAGGGCAGCGTTGCTGAGACGGGCGACAGAAGCCATTGTGAGAGATAGTTATGCAGACGAAGAAGATACGAGTGCAAAAGCAAGAACAGGAACAAGAGGCGGAGATGCCGGAGGGAAGAGGAGAGGTATATGAGGGATAGGATAGAGTGGAGGGGAGGAAAAAGTAGGTTAAGTTAGGTAACGGGGAGGAAGAGGTTCAAGTAAGCCAAGAGATCCGGTCGATAAAAAAAAAGGCGCAAGCTTGAGAGGGAGGCACAAAAAAAAAGTAGACTACCCCGTCTCATTCTGTGACATTGTCCTCTCACCTTGGCTCTACCTTAGCTGTGAGTACTGAACCTCGGGGACCGGGGGTACGGGGGGCATGAAGCATCAAGCGGAGCGGGACTTATGGGGCAGGATACAGTGCAGACAGCCCGGTTTTGCTCGACGGGATGGACTTTTACAGGGGGTTGGATGGACAGCCTCAGCCAGTTTTTTTTTTCTTCCGCCGATTTACCAGGGGTGACGTTTCTGGGGACAACGCTTTTTTTGTTTTGCTTTTGTTACTGGGGTTTCAATTCTGGACATCATGAAGTCAATATCTGTCTGCTAGAGGTAGAGGAGAGGTATCTTTGCGGGGTTGAAGAGCTTCAGCGTTTCATTAGGTCGATAGCTGTCATTGAAATCGTCATTTTTGTGTGTTGGAGAATTGACTTCAGCCCGTCAAGTTCAATCTAATCTACCCTCGATTACATCAGAGCTCGCTACAGTAGAGCACAGCACCCTCTTTTTCGACCATACCCAGCCGTATTCCGTCATCAACTGCCAATTGGGTAGTATCCGTTAATAGTCCTCGGTTATGCCCTTTTGCAACTATCTACTGAGTTGAGGTAGGTAAATAGAGCAAGTTGATATGTATCGCTGCCAACTGACCGATCGCTATCCATAATAGTGTCTCACCGGAACTACATGTCCCCTCTATAATCCAAGTGCCATGCTGTCCTCTTATTTTGATGAGGTTGCACAGGCAGAAAAAAAAGTGACTGAGCTACGACTCTAGAGGAACATTTACCGCGGGCCCCCTCAACCTGCATCTGCAAGCCCCAAAATTTCGGCCCCAATCCCTGTCCCTCTCCCGCGTTCTCAAGCTCCAATTCGACGCACTCCAAGCCCTCCCCCAAATGGCCGAGATGCCTGCCGTAGGGAGCAAGAAAACTTTAGACCATAAATAAAGCTGCTAAAATAACTGGTCTGAATGTCCACTATTGCTGCAGAAGATCTACTGAAGTCTTTTTGTCGCTCAGGGTAGAAGTCTTAAGTATTATTGCCTCCCCAAGACAGGATGGAACCCCAACAGCTAGTGATAGTCTAGGCTTGTGTCTTGGGTCTGGGGGTTGCGTTGGCTTGGCTTGTGAGGACAAACAGGATGAGGGAGGGAGGGCTTGCGGCTGCTTCTCGGCACCAGATGTTGTCTGTGAGTTTCTCAGCATTGATTGATATTTGACAATATGCAGGAGCATGGAGTGAAAAAGAATCAATATGGGTGCATTCAAAACCTACTCAGCCAGGCTCTACCCCCTGTTGTTTACATTCAACGTCGGATTTTTCTCTCATCATGACAACTTCGGAACTGGTGTACCCTCCGAATATTGTCTCCATGATGGAAATGTTCTTGGCTCCACCAAAACGAGCCCCTTTGGAAGAACAAGTGGAGATACCATCACAATCAACACATTTGTTTGGCTCATTGCTCGTGGGACCTCGGTCATGCTGGCCATTATCGACGTAGCCGTGATTTGACGTCAGAACCAAAGATGGGTTCGTCGGACCTAGAATTAAACACGAGGACAAGACGACCCGGAACTACCGTGATCCATCGCCGGGCCTCCGAGCCAGCGCCGCAGGGCTTCGGACTGCCGACCTACCCTTCTATCCGGCCAGTAGAAGGTCTCTACGGAGCATCCGGACAGCTGATCCCTAACCGCCATTCTCTAAGAAGATAATCACATCTGATCGCGAAACCTGTTTGAACGAAGCGCTCAACTAAATACAGTATTTCCGATCACCCGGTCACCTCGGTTGTTTCAAAACCACCAAAATCGGCTATTCTGTCTTGTGATGCTGTCTCCAAGCACCATCTAATGGCTTCCAGCAACTTGGCATTTCTTGTCATACCTTTCTCCAATAATCACGATGTATGTATCGTGGGTCCCTCGACAATCTATTATTAATTATTAGCCATCCGTTTCACATATCACTTCATGATCTAGGCGCCCACAGCATCCTTGATACTAACAACATAGCATGCTTATTACCGCAGCATCTTGGCCGAAGTGCATGCTTTTCATCGAGATTTACGTACAGACTACATAAGCTCAACAAGAAATCGCGCGTTTACGGAATTGCTTTCCTCTTAGATTAGCCTCGTCTTGTCTGTGTCCTTATCTAGGGTATCATGCACTCCACTAACACTAAAAGCTTGTTACGGATTCAATCCGGAAATGTAAACCATAATAAGTCCCTGGTTATGTAAACTGGATGGTGACCTGGTAGCTGCAAGCATCTACATGAATATGAGTTCGCCAATAGGTAACTGTTTTTTATTCTCAGTCCAGATTAGCATACAGGCATTAGTTGGGACTACCCTCAAGCAGCAAAGCTTACCGCGTGAAGATAGAAGAACATAGAACCAAAAACAAGAACATGACTTGGATAAGTCAAGCGTACATGGTTATGGTTAATTCCACTGCTTTGTTATGTCCAGTAACTTACATATTGTATACATGTGGAGCAGTATCTATAGTAACAAAGAAACAACCATACTCGGGAAACAGAGCTCGGTCACAAATGAGAACTACCTTGCTTTATCTTATCATAGGTGGTGAATGCCTGAATTACTGCAGTACAAGTCTGGCCAGGCACAACGGCCGTGATGTTGGTATAGGTTCAGAGGCTTTCCTTTTCTGGGTTGGCACCGGATAAACTATCAGGACCACCAAACCCAAACCCGGAATAAAGATTTGAGTGACCTGGAACCAGACTGCGACACTTAAAAAGGCAGCCCCACCTGTCACGCTCTTTCGCCTCAGCTTTTCTCCTCCCACTTCATCCATCATCACCTCACGAACCAAGAAAAGAGCAGCATCACTCTTGACGACAACGCCCATCGAGGCGAACACGCAAACAACGCCAGTGCAGTTATTTTCCGACCTTGTCTCTAGTACTGACAATTTTTTTTCTCGTTTGACGGTCTCTGTTGGCTTTATCGCCCACTGCACAATCTCGTGACTCGTCGCGCTCCTGACGCAAACAGTAGAAGAGCTTTCTCTCGCACAAGTCGTACCCGTACTCCTGAGGCCTGCCTTCTCTATTTGTATTTGCGTCGCATATTTCCAGCTGATACATTACTTCATCTTACAATAACTGGGACTGCTCTCGTACTACTACTACTTATCTCGCCAGTCGCGACTGCGTAAAAGAAAAAAATTCTCTACCTGCCCACCTAAGGAAGGAAGGACCCGCTTAAGCTTTTTCGTACCTGAATAACGCGACAAAGAAATTTTGATTCAGACAGAAATATTCTTCTGCGTCTCTTCTCTTTGCCTCGCTTCTCTCTCGTGCTGCAGGCATTTTATTTCAAGTGGCATCGCCCACCTCTGGTTATTTCGTTGTGGGATCATATTTGGCTGGAGTGCATCGCATTTTGAGGCATCACGCGTAGCTCGTCGACTACTCCAGTCTATCATACAAGCACCACACACATTACATCACTTCAAATCAAATCATCATGGCGTCCGCAGTCGCGGATTTGGAGACTGGTCTCCAGGCTATGCTCAACTTAAAGCCGCCAGGTGTGTCCGGATCTCGCATCACCAGTTTGACCTCTCTCTGCGTTTCCAACATCCAGGTAAGGTTTAACCAAGCATCTCTATTTGCTGCAACGCCAAACAATCGCTAACTGCTTGTGCCAACAGGCCGAATCCGTCCTCATTCAGAAAATCTTCACACACTTCAAAAAGACACCAGGAACACACAAGTTAGGGGTACTCTACGTCGTAGACTCTGTAACCCGGAAATGGCTCGAGCAAGCCAAGGCACAGGCACAGACAATTAACAGCTCTGCCCCGGATGGAACCTATGCCGCTGGCGTCAATCGAGTGACAGAACTCATGCCTGTTTTGATGAATGACATCCTTCAATCCGCCCCGGAAGAACAAAAGGTACGCATATCTGACTATCACACTCATGTAGCTGGCAACCAGTCACTGCCACGTGCCGCGCATACTGGAGCATCTTGCAAGGCGCTTCTGTTGACGACCCTTGTTCCTTGACATATTTGACCTTCGTACTATTTATATGGATCGTAACTCACACATAATCCACCGTGTAGGAAAAGATTAAGAAGCTCCTTGATATCTGGGAGAAGGGCCAGACGTTCCCTACACCAATGCTCGAGTCTTTTAGAGAGAAGCTCAACGCACCACAACAGAGTACGTTTTTCACGCAAGCAGTATCACACCTGGCCTCATATGCCCAAGCGGTACTGCTTTATTGCCTCAAATCAACTTGTAGTCTAACACATGTGATGTTATAGATGAATCGACAACTCCTCCCGGTAGCCCGCCGCCCAATGTGCTAGGCTCGCAGCATGGCAGCGCTTCAGCTCCCGCTACGACTTCAGCTCCTCAGGCTCCTAGCGGTACATCTATTCTTGAAGCTTTGGCTAACATCGCTCGTCAAAACACAACCGCTCCCCCTGCCAACCCCTTACCGGCTCCCACAGCACCGTATAACCTGCCAGCTGCCGCGCCACCTCAACCAGTATCATCTGCTACGCCGCCTGTATCGTATCCTCCGGCGTCGCAACCCGTAAATGTGCCGTCTCTTCCTTTCGGCCTCCCACATATGGGGGCGCAGAATGGATATGCAGGCTCTCCTCTGAACAACCCAAGTAACCCACCTAATCCAGTCAATGGGGCCATGCCTGGTGCAGCACCTGGCCTTGGGCTTGATCCAAGCACTCAGCAGCAGATCATGCTGATTAAGGCGCTCGCTGACCAAGGTATTCCATTTGATAAGATTCCTGCTCTCATTCAGAGTATGGGTGGTGCAGGAGCCGCGGCTGCAGCTAGCGCTCTCCCAGCTCAGCAGCCTGCTCCTTATGCACAGGGTCCCCAAATTCCTGGTCAAACTGCATGGGGTGGCCCTTCAGGCAAGCCAGAGGATTCACGTATGCCAGGCTACGGCCATACAAGATCTCCTCCTAGATTCCATGGACGTTCTCGTTCACGATCTCCTGACCGTGGCTGGGGTGGTCGTGGCTCTCCTCGAAATGGACGTGATCGCCCAGACTATGTCCGTGACTCTCCTAACCGTGGTCGTCATGATGACCGCCGTGGAGGTGAATATCGCCAGCGTAGCCCTCATGGACACCGTGGACGAAGTGAGACCCCGCTTCATGAACAAGGCTCAGCCGACAAATGGGTCGAGTACGATCCAACTCTTCCATCCGGACACATCAAGGTCTATAGCCGAACATTGTTTGTTGGTGGAGTAACGTAGGTGTATCCTCATCTGTATTCGTATCGCGTTAACTAACCAAGGAACAGCTGCTCTGAGAGTGAATTGCGTGGCATATTTGGCCGCTTCGGTACGGTGCAAACATGCATTGTCAACAAGGACAAGCGACATGCTTTCGTGAAGATGCTTAGCCGACAAGATGCTGTCAACGCCAAGCAAGGTACTGAGGACTCCCGTAATCTGGAGGTGCCCCTTCGTGTAAGTAACTGTTGTCTCTATTTGGTACTTTGACTCGAGCTAACTTTAGCAGACTCGTTGGGGTGTTGGTTTCGGCCCTCGGGACTGTAGCGACTATTCAACGGGTGTCAGCATTATTCCTATCCATAAGTTGACGGAAGCTGATCGCAAGTGGATGTTGACCGCCCCCTTTGGCGGCAGCGGTGGACAACCCATTGAGACTGGCCTGTCAGTGGAGGAGCCCGATATCGAGATCGGAGCTGGAGTCTCATCCAAGGCCATCAGCCGACGCATGCAAACGGACAAGGGCGGTAGCAACGGACCCAAGTCAACTCGCAATCGGGACGAAGACCTCTCCCGTTGGCGCCGAAGTAGAGACAACGGCTCAAACGGACACAATCGTCGGGACGATCACCGCGACCTTGCTCAGGATGGACAGAACATGGTTGCCTCGTTCCCCTTTGGTATTGGCACACTGCCGAACGGCATGCCCAACTTTCCCGCTGGCTTCACATTCCCTGATCCCACAAATAACTAGAGATTTCTTCCCAGGAGGACGCACAAGATTATGTAATGATACCCAGGTATGGAAATGGGAGGACATTTTGTTATTTTATTGTTGATTTCCCTGGTTGCTTTAAGCAGCGAAGAAGGCGGCGTTGGCAACATGGCTCCAAGGTCTATACAAGGACTTGGGCTTCGGGAGACGGTTTCTTGCATCAGTTGGCGGGCAAACAGTCGTGATTGACGGCTTCGTGCATGCGCATTGACGACCAGATGTGTTTTTGTTTGTTTAATGAGGGCCCCTTGGCCCACGTAGCTTTGTTGGCTACAAATGAAAAGTTACGATATTCCACTAAATACTTGCGCCTTGTGAAGTCGTGCCCGTGAATTCGGTTCGGTCATGGTAGTCGCCGGGTGATTCAACAGTGCCCCCAGGTTCCAGCATTGTACTGCTAGAGGCTTGCCATATTGATGATGTCCTTTTCACATCTACGACCTATATAGCAGTGTCCTATACATATCGTTGAATCTGAATACAACATGTTGTTTGCCTCTGGAGTGGTTGTCTGTTGCTATTATTCCCCCAGGGTGAAGTTTCCACCACAAACATTTCGTAGAGAACGCGACCAGTAGACAACCTGGAGATGCTTGCTCTCTATTTTCTGGTATCCAGCAGCATGTCTCTTGGCAGCGAAGCTCTTGTGATCATTGGTCAGGAAGTCTGGGCGATGTAAAACCAGGGTGGAAACATGTTGTATCCAGGAATGAAGTCTTCATCATTGTCTTTCTTTTTATATAGGCTCTTACATGGATGGTCAACATCCCCTGGATGCTTCAATGTTCTGAAGGGGTCGTGTTGTCTCGTTCTTGTCGAGTTACATGATCTGACGGCATCCCGGCGTACCTGCAGGGTAGTCAACTCAGAACTTGACCTCGAAGGTCATCTTCATGTTTGTACAAACATGTCCTGTTTGCTTTTCGATCCTGATGGCCGTGGTCTCCTATGTTACTTTACTCACTTTACTTGGTTTTCATGTTTGTGTGAGCAACTTGTGGCTCTGTATGATCGAGTGTCTTCCCTCGTCAGGTATATCGCCTGACGGCTTGGATCACTCGCCACTTCCGACACAGAGAAGAAAGTCTTTCCATTCGTTACAGACAACCTTTTCGCTTCTAGTATTGTGGTTGTGTAGTCGAATCGTACTGTGATTCCCCCACTGCTCACAGCAAAGCCATGCGAAGCCTCGACAGTGAAAGCACGTCAATGACCCCAGAAACGAGTCGTCAATCACTTCTATACCTTTTATAGTACTGTTTAACAAAAGACGTTTATTCATGTATGAATTTTTGTCTATATTTGGTCTTCGGGTCTCCGTACCTATGAGTCGTGCATGTATCATCTGAAAGCCTTTCTGGCTCCTTCCTGGGTCACATCGAATGGTTAAACGGAGAAGTACTTCAAACTTATTGCTATCGATATCTCAACAACATAGATCGGGACAGTACAGCAAGACTAACACGCTTCTTCCTTTGTAGTGGATATCCCTCCGTGTGCTTACATAGACTGAGTATCTCGGGCGATATATCCTTCTGCATATTCCTTCCGTAACTTGTTAAGCTTAGTTCTACGGGGTGGGAGGGTTACAAGAAGAGCCTTTCGTCAAGTTGAATGGACTTCACCGGAAAACTTAGTCATGGCCTCTTGTATTTATTCGAGTTTAACTCGCTATGTAGATGGATTCCACGATGTACTTGAAGCTCGAGAGGGATCTCAGCCTCGTCATGCGAGTTTGGGCTCTTTATGTCAACACAACATATCACTCTAACTAAACTCAAACTAAGCTCCCTAGTTCAACATTCCATCATGTGCACACGATTTATCCCCAACCACATAATCCGTCAACAGAAAGCCAAAGTTATGCGTTGCAATTAGTATCCCCTCTCTTTGACCTTGGTCGCTCTATCTCAGCCCGGTACAGGGTAACCACCACCAAACTCACCACTCTCACCCGCATTTCGATCGTCGCAGTAATCTTACATCCCTCCCTGCAACTCCTCACGAGCACGTCAAAGCGATCACGATCGTCTCATCCCTGAACGTACTCACCAACAGCACTTGCACCGCCAAGACAAGACAGACCGTGACGATCGAAGCCTTCACCGTCGGTAGTTAAAATAAAGTCGACAGATCGACAGCGCCATTCTATCAGGCAGCAATAAACTCATTAATGCCGTTCATTCACATGACTAGCCATTCATCGATACCGTCTTGGATAGATTACTGTACTTTTACTCTTCCTTTGTTGTCAGAAACAAGGTTCGGTTATCACCAGAAACCCCCATGGGGCTCGATTGGGGTATAGTGCGAGATTTTCCCCTGACTAGGTTGGATTGATCACCGACCGACGGTCCTTTTAGATAGAGACTTTGATATGACGGTTGTTATTTGATGTGGAAGTATCAACTAGTATGTTGAATATTCTCCATTGAGACAAGGTACGTAAACTGACTCAGAGCTTGACTGGCTGTGACGTCTCTACCCCTTCAGCCTCGAAATTACGCATTCAGGTGATGCAGAAAAGATAAACAACCAAACATGCTCAGGCAGGGATATCCATCATTATCTGCCGCTACGTAACAACATGGTCTTAACTTAACAAGAGACACATATCGCACTTGTCTCGAAGCCCCAAAATTAGAAATCCCTTGTGCTAAACCTTTTGAGATGCAACTAATTGTCGCGCGGATGGATCCCTTCATCCACAGTTTGGCTCCAGCGCAATATCCGACTGCATACCAATCAATCGATCAATCGATTACAGTAAACACTCCGCGCTGAACTGAAACCATAGTCATATTGCCCATCCCACGCCCAAAGCACGCTGCAATCTTACTCCATACCCACTGACCTGCCGCTCAAATCGCGACGACAGAAAAATAAGCATCTGCTTCCTGTCAAGTCCGAAATTAACGGAGCCACTCAAGGTCCATCCATCCCTTCATCGTGCATGCATGTTATCCATACCATGAAAATCCAGAAACTTTCTACCAAGCACGCACTTGCATGACTTGAAAAAAAAAAGGCAAAGGTCACAGAGAAACCGAAGCACCACGGGACTGACCGACTCGAGCCAAGACGGAATAACAGACAGCTCAATTATAAACATCATCCATCCACTTTGCCTCAATCGTTGTCAAAAACGGCAAGGGGAGTTCTGTCGTATGTAGCTTCAGAGTGGACTGACAGAGTCTGGAAGTAGACTATAATGCCGTTCTACACGGTCTGGACAATGATGAGTTATGCTGCCCAGGCTCAGCCTGCAAACGTGTGCATGTATGTTAGCGATCTGGACAAATACTCACGTTGCTCTATGAGTCTAGACGAAGACCCTGTCGATATAGCCTCAAATCCAAGTCTTGGTACAACACACGGGGACATAAAATTATCGTATGGTTTGGTGGCGGTAACAGAAATCGAACATCGAGAACACATGTCTTGGCTCTTGGCTGTCAAGTCTTGGTTCATCTGGCCAAGGTCGGGCGTGTGGAAAAGAACAACATCAGCCAAGAGCCAAGATTCACATCTGTGGCATCAAAAGTGTTGGCATCGGTAGTCGCCGTCTTGGTATCTTGGATGATCGACTTGGAAACATAATAGGGCTGGACGACTAAATGCACGTCCTCTGACATACATCGGATTCCGAAATCAATAGTCACTGAGGCTATGTTCGTGACCGATGTCAAGATTTAACGGGACGCGTCGTCAATCATCAAGGCTTGTAGAATTTCATGGACACACGGGTGGTAAGTAAATGGAATTGCGACTCCTGGCGACACAAAAATGACGACGCCTCTTTGAAACCAACAGCTGTGTCACTGGGCTCACATATGTGATGTCGCTCCCGATCTGCAAGGCTTTATGGATGAGGAAGAAAACGGCCTGCTCGGAAGTCATAAATATGAGTGTAAGACGAGGCTTGATTAAGCATTCTGCAGCCTCTCATGGACAGATGTTCTTCAGGCGGTATACCCTATGGGCAAGTGAAGGCCGCCAATCCACCAGTCATGCGGGACGCTGCACTAGGCGCGTAATACCATGCGGCCTAGAAAGAAAGTCAGAGGTGAATATGCTCGTCGCGACGCGCAACTTTGCACATCCATCTTGGCTGTGCCACAACGTTTCTGGTGTAAAGGAAACACCCTCGTTTCAGTCAGCGACTGAGTTGTTCGTCCAACGACCGAGGCCAGTTGTTTCATCAACCGGTCGTTCCTCGCTTCGAGACTCTTGGCATCTCCGGAGAGAAGGAAGTCAAGATTGGCTCTGGACCTCAATGCAGCTGCATGAATGTGGGCAGTGGACAAAAAACTCTCATGCGCCTCGTGTCATCTGAGAACATGGCTGACGATAATACAGACCTACACCTGATTTTGAGTCGAGTTGATGTCCGCCAAAGCCGAGCATTGAAGTGAACTAGCCTTGCGGCCAAGATCCGGGGTGTGGCATCCTTTGCGTGTAAGCAATTGAGATGGCTCGAAGAGTTGCATGGTTGTCAGCATGTTTGCTTGGCTTTTGACATATGTCCGTCTTCGGCTCCGTGATATTCCCCAAGTCGCGAGTCGCGTCTAATCCCCAGTTTAGGGACTTGTACTTGATTGCAACTTTCATGAGTGTTCTGAGGCGGAATTAGTACGGATAGGTTCAGGATGCAGACTTCCACAGCTTCACTATGGAGTATGAATCGCTCGAAATTGTATGAGTGAATTAGTTGTTGGGATGAGATGCAGGGTCCTCCGGCAGCCTCAGGTCCGTCCATCCATCATCGAGTCGTATGCTCCAGTTTTCGTTATTGACTCGCCAAAAGTCAGTTTAGCCAGCGAGAGAGGATTCTTCTCCAACAAATCCCACACCAAGGTTTGGAGACTCGTGGAGCCTGGAGAAATTCCTTTTTAAGATGGAGACTCTTCAATAGCGACGCAAACAAAGTCACCATCGGAAGCTGACCGCTAAGGTGCTGTCCATCGTCGATCACTGATCCTGGTCCTTCTCGTATGCTCTGAATTACCAGGCCCAACACGGTGTGAAAGCGTGGCGCGCAACTATCGAGGTCGCGGCAGAGCCTCGCTACAACCTTTGCACTGCGACTTGTTGTGAGCTGTAAAAGCCGGTCGCACGGACAGGGTCACTAGCTTGTATTGGAAACAAGATATAGATTTTATCAACCAGGACCAGCAAGACCGAGGCTTGTCTCTTGATAAACGCCAATCCCAATCGTGCCAAAGGCGGACACACCGTTGTCGAATATCCGACGGGATTGTTTCAGGCATATGTTAAGGTAACATGCGAAAATACTCAACGGTTTAGCAGGTTCTTTAGTCCAATTTCTCCAGACAACCTATAGCATTGACATCATATCCGATTCGCGATTGAACAAATAAATTTGCAATTCCGGGAATGACGGCACGGATAGATAGGATGCCAGATAGATACGGGGGCTGTCGTGGAGACTGTCATGGGGAGCTGGAGCAATGAAATGGACGCAAGAGCCTCATTTACTGGCGCCAGCCAACGGCGAGGCACTTTGGTAGGGACAAGTGACAGTAGGTGGGTTGTCACAAAGACTACCAACAACAGACACGTAAAGAAAACAGCAAAAAAAAAGCCGCGTCTGGGGCCTTTAGCTCGGGGCGCTTAGTGCTTCTCTGAGCTTTCTGTCTGTCTTTGGGAAAGTAATGTCCGACAACTGACAGGGCCTGGACTTTCTGAGTGCTGGACTCGGCTGGTACTCGGTACCTTGAAGACATGGTACGGCCAGCGGCGGCAAGTTGGCGTGCTAAGTTTGTGGAAGGGAAAAGAAGTGGATATCAGGAACGAGCATCCATCATGGTGGAGCAAGAGTGCTAGAGCACCGTGTCAGTTTTTGCCAAACCAGAGATATCGGTCCTACGCCCTAGCCACGTCGCCGCCTCCGGTGAGGCTTTGATAACAGTTTGTATCATCACAGGCCAGACGATGGCTGCGAACCAGAGGCTGTAAACACCGCAGCTTCCGATTTACCCAGAGCTTTGCGATAGAGCCTTGACAATACAGTGTGATTGACAATCAAAACTGGACTACGCAGCGAAGGATGTGGTTCAGGGCTAGCCAATAGTAAGTTCGACAGCTTGACTGCCGAAGGTCGCGTGCAAGCCAAATCGCGTGGATCGGTACAAGCGGGTCTCACATGCGGGCAGTTATAAATCCCTGCATTTCAATTTGCGGTGGCTATTTGGGGTCGTCGGGGTTAGGATTTGGAGAACAGGCTGAAGATTCTAGTTTTGAAGTCTCCAGATCAAGCCGGCTGTATGTGTGAGACATACAGGCAAATGTGCCATCGTCGCGAGATCGGAGTGTTGACGGTGACAACACTGCGAGATTTCGAGATTTCTCCGCTCTGGAAATAGAGGTCAGGATCTCGAGTGACGTATGCGCATCGTGCCAGATTCACGTATCATTTTTCGTTTTCGGATAAACCATGACTTGTTGATAGACCGCCTCAGCCTCTGAGTAACGTCAGCAGAGGCGACAACAGCATGATGCGACTTTGGCTTGTCATGCTGATCCTCACGAATCTTCTTTTGTGGTTCACAAGATGCAAGCACCCAGGGCGCAAATAGGCACAAGACCGTAAAGTCAAGTTACCGTGAAGTCAAATCAAGTCCATGCTTCGACAGCCCCTATCAGATGAACAGTCCTACCCCAGACTGTGGCGGAGAGTGCATGAATAAGAAAGTCGGAGCGGAGGCTGGTAGGCACAACGACATCCAGGGGCTGGGACAGTCAAGGTAGCACTCGACTCCATCAGTGAAGTCCCTTGAATCGAGTGAAGGCTTGGCTGTTCAAGGAAGCTGCTCTTCGCTCTCCGCAATTGTGCACTGTTGCTGTCGCCAAGGAAGCTGGGGTGAAGCGGTGTTCTTGATAGTGCGGTCTGGCTTGGGCTGGCCTGTTGTGTGTATGTAAGTGAAGATAGAGATGGATATGGAGAAGCAAAAAAGTGAGGCTGTAGGAAGAAAAGTATCCGGCACCATCATCTCCCGCGGGATGGGAGAAGGTAATTTGTGTTGGGGTAGATCTCAGGATGTGGAAGGTGCAGCCAATGACTGGTGCTGAGACCTTCCAGATTTGACATTAAGCTCATCAATATCCCGCATGCTACGCAGCGAGCGTGCCACTATTGCCATTCCCTAGTCCCAGCTACTGTCTGTCTAACAAGCCCATGATGAGGTTTTACCCGCAAATGGTTAGGTGAATGATTCAATGACCAGAGTCCACGTTTACTATTATGCAAGAGTATCAAACAGAGTGAGCGATATTACCGGTGCAAGGAGTCTAGGTCGAGTCTATTTGCTTGGATCGTTTCATGGTCTTTGAATTCCCTCATCAGATGAACCGACCAATCACTATGACCAATTGATTGGTTCTGTTTCCTAGACAATTTTCAGGGTGCAAGCCCACCAACCTCCTAGTTCGAGCGCCTCCCGGGCGACCCCGGATCCGCCCAAAGCCGGGCAAAGATGGGGAAGATGCACGAATATGCAGTCAAGAAATGCCTCGTTGACTTGGCGTCAGCCGTGAAAGGGGATTGGGTGAGACGAGAGACTTGTTCGTTTTTCGACATCGCTTTACGCGGACACATCACTCATGCGCCCCGGGTTTTTCTGGAAGAAAATAGACGCACTCGCTCGTGCGTGTAAGTCGGCAGCTCCACGCTGATAGAGCTGCATAATGCAAATCTCCCACTGTAGTTAATTTGGACCCGGTCTTGTCGGCGGTTTAGTGGACTCCAAAGATTGCAAACTGTTTAGTGCTGCTGTTTATCTCTTCATTTGTAATACCAATTGCCTCTCGCCTGTGATATATCGAAGTCGGATTAAGATGTAGGACAGTTACCGTATCAAGTAAACAACACAAGGGGTCGTTGGTGGCGGATATTGTGTAAGGATGTCTCCCGTCGCGGAAACAACAGGGTAGGCACTGGACGGATGCCCGTGGACACAGCGTAACAAGAGGTTACATGAGGCTTGTTAAAGTTACGTAGGCGGGCTTAAGCATACAGTTTGGTGTGTAAGACCAACCGCCTGGTAACGTAATGGGAGCGATAGGCGCGGCACACAAAACTTGGACCCTGGATGAGGCAACTTGTAACAGCAAAAGACGCGGAATGGAACCTGGACATGGAATCTAAGAGTCAGGAACAACAGCGGAACGCGGAAACCGGTGCGGTGAACGACTCGCTGAAGATCGGAGTCAGACCCGCTCGCAGCGAGCGAGCGACTCAGGCACTCTCGTTCTCAGCTTCAGAAGTTCGTGACCAAAAAGGACTTACCGTGCCCCGTCTTCGGCATTCGACGACCCATTTAGGGTTGACCGAGAAGAAAACATCTTGTACACCGCGAATTGCCCGTGGGGTCTCCATCTATTGCCCACTGACACACCGAGGCATCGGCGCCGAAGTCCACTCACCGGAGGTCGCGGGTAAAAAAGCGCCGACCAAATCCTGTTCGGTTTTGCCTATCGACAGCCAGCTACTATAGCCAAAAGCCCGCGGAAGAAAGCGACCACGTCCCCCAGTTTAAACATAGAGGTACCCCCACATGAAATCCGATGCGAAGTGGATGTGGATATGGCAAGGTAGAAAAACAAAACCGCGAAAGGGCGAGGCCGACTGGACCGGAACTGTGAGCTGGGTTAGGTAGGCAAATCGGAGAAACAGTCGCCGCCATTGGTCGTAGGCTGTCTCACCTTCTTTTGAACTCAGTCATTCCAATGACGTAGAGACTCAGGGTACTGCTGCTTTTGGCGATGGATGGGATTCTGGGGCACTGACCTTTACAGGCTTGAGTTTTGAGCAAGGGCGTGGGGTGCCCCGAAGCTGACGGGGCTCGTTTGTGCAAGCCCAATAGAGACAAGGAGAACACGGGCCTGGAATCGACTTGGCTGCTTGGCGAGAGGCGACAAGAGTTCTTCGTGATCACTGACAGCGGTGGCCAAGTCTAGAGGGAGGAAGGGCATTGGATAAACGGGTGAAGGTCAGCATGGAAAGGCCGGCTTCTAGAAAAATTCCAATATGCGTGGCTTTTGGCCAGTGCAGCTGGGTCCATACGTTATGCACGCCTGCATGAGCGGCTTCAACAGCTGTGATGATCCCTAAATAATACCTCACATGAGGGAAGTTGACAGAAACAACTGAGGTCAGTCCCGCCCTAACCGAGCTCGCTAACATCGTGGTATTTGTGTCAAGCATATCTGATGTTTGCTCTTTTTGTACGCTAAAACTGAGCGAGGCTTGGTCCCGTCGTCGTTGGGACAGGGCTTGCTCTGGTGGTGAAATGGGCTAGCCTGCCGTTTTGGATGGAGATCCATTCAGTAGCTGATGAAGAAAGTTCACCGGTTCAATCAAGTCTTCTCCAATAACTCTCGTCCGCGTTAACCCGCAGGTTAGATCAAAGACGCTAATAGCGGCGCCTCATCTCATGCGTAGAAGACGAAAGTGCAAGGTGAATCTCCTCGGTGTCCTTCTTAGACAGACACGGAGAAGACCAGAGACAGGCCTAGGGCAGCCAAGCCGATCCAGCCCAGGCGAGGCCCTGCAGAAGCTCGCCCATGTCGTTTCGTGAACGAGACCGTATCTCGCACCGTATTCACCACTGTCGAGCTGCCAAGGCTGGCACAGGCTCAACAGCTGCCGATAAGGCGATTGGACATGGCAGCCACTCAACGGTGACAATTTGCGCCTGGTGAGCAGTGGATGCTCATGTGTGCCCTTATTCTGTGTTGAACCTGGAACTGTTCCATCATAACAGGCCATCGTTTCTCAAAGTCATGACTACTTAGTCAAGGGCGAGGCAGACCGCAGTAAAGCTTGTCGCGATACGTCTGATTACTTGTCATAAAATGACGACTATCATGACCACTCATCGAAACACGGCGATCCCGTTTCGGTCCTGCCTGAAACCCCTACGTTCAATTAACCTCATGCCTTTCTCGTGTCCGAGTCAAACAAGACTTGGGACAACGACTGATAGGCCGGCCGAAAAAGAATTTTGCAGAGGGAATATAGATTGAGAAGATGCAGAGTAACCGACCAGCATAGTCGTCATCGGACAGGATCTATGAAGCTATCCCATCTGAGATTGTCAGACCAGTTCCCAGTCAGGTCAGTCCCGAGGTAGATCGCGTGGGGCCAGTCTCAAATATGCTGCAATTAAAGTAGCGGATCGATAAATGTATGCACTTTAGAATGCATTTGCTGTGTAAACTGGATGGCTTTTAATGTCACCTCTTGAACATGACTTGTTATTTACGACTACCAGCTTCCAGGTGGAAATTAGGAAATTGAACGACACGCTTTGCGCGCAAATAACAACTTCACCATTGGAAAGCGCATTACGTGCACAAGGTGGGATAAGGTATGAAGATCTATGCAATGCTATTATACATGCGTGATGTATCAATGGCTGCGTTACGATTGTGAAATCGTCACTGAGTCATTGCAATTGCACAACATTGCACATCAGGACCATGACTCCCGTTGCGTTCCAGGGGCCATGAGGGTGACATTTCGCATTGACACTGTAATAAGGGTCTCAATGAACAGCTCAAGACAAAGCAAGGCTGATGGATTGACAGAAACGGCAATCCGTTCTCTCCGTTACTCATGAAGCGGAGCCTATCATGACTTCTTCTGTCTTCTCCAGTGTCTCGAGTCGCGATTTCGCTGACCGCCGGGGATGGGCAACTCAGTGTCGTCATTATTCTTGACAAGCAGCGATACGCAGCGGGAAAAACGAAAAAGAGCACATGGGCATGGGGGAGGGGGGTCCTCCCATGGAGGAAAATCCCTCAGCGGAAACGGGGAGCTTGACGCCAGGTACAAGCTCGGCCAGCAATGACATACAGGAGAGGTACCGGGGCCCCAGTATGGAGAGCGCGCTACGGGACACCAGAGGACTTTGTATTCAGTAGGTCCAGACGCTGGCAGGCAGACACTTACAGTTGTACATGGCTTGATGCTATCTTGAGGCAAAATCTAGCATTAGTGAGGCAATACGTCGATACAATCGAGGACCGGGCTTTGAGCCATCCCACATGTACAACGGGGCTCTCGAAGGATGGAAGCCAACGGGATCCGGGAGATGCACAGTGTCTTACTGTCTCTAATGCCAAAAGTCCATGGGTGTTGTAAATGGCCGTGGAGATGCTTTGGTGATAGTTCGGAGAGGTAGGCAGACAGATACAACCAGGGCGATAAGCAAGTTTGGATACGAAAGTAAAATTACTCGCTCAGCTGTGGGTTTTCTAGGTGTCTTGTTTTTCGTAAAGCTAAATCAGCAAAAACTGTACTTGCGCGCTATCACAGTATGTACAATCCCGCGGACATTCCCCCAACCCATGTAAAATAAACCCAACCCAGACAGGCAGGCAGGCGGGCAGGCTATTGTTTTGATTTGTTTGTATTGACTTCCTCGCATCTCATCGCTTTGTCAAGATCGAGGCGAATCGCTCTCATGGTGACATGGATGGTGAATGACTGATTGTTAGTGTCATCATATTGAGGTCGTCATTGTCGTTGTCATTGTCACGTTCATTCAGTCATTGTAAGCCATCAATCAGCTGTCAGCCACGGGCAGTTGGATAGATGAGACACGTCCAATAGCTATCGCTTATCAGATACGTGCTCTCAATTGAGTTTTGTTTTGTCTCTTGTTTACGCTGAGCACTCTCCCCCCTTGTGCTTTATCGGCAGGGCAATCTCATAACGTGAGTCTCTATCTGAGCCTAGTCTTGCTGCATATGAAATGTAAATTGGTCTTTGGTCCCTCTCAATCTCTTTTTTTCCCACTGCATTTGCTGTGCTGTCTCCGTTGCACCCACTGCTGAGATTACCGTCTTGTTTCCATTCCCCACGCTGGGCGCCGCCACACACTGTGCTCTGCACCTGCATAGAAGGAAGAACCTGGGCTGGGCCGAGGACCAGAGGCTGCCTTGAGTGGACAAGGGCAAGGGCAAGGGCGATTTAGATGGGGCATCATAAAATGGGCCTTGCAAGTCTGCAAGATATTGCGACCAACGTTTCATAGAGTTACACCCTAGCACGGGCTTGATTAGCTCCATTGACACGCCCCAGTAGGAAAAAAAAGTTGCAGGCATAGCTCCAGAGAAAAACATTTTGGTGAGAAGTGAGAGAACGCAGCTCCTAGCAGCAGAGCAGTAAGAAAAATTGAGCCAGCCGACGCTACCGGGTACGGCAAGGGTAGCTCCTACACTGGCGTGCTGGCTAACACTCTCTGTCTCTAGTTTCCAGGTGGATGCTGATGCTACTGCGTTGTTTACTGCATTAGAATGAGATTGACTGAGATGGGGGTTTGTTGATCTCAGATGTTGTTTTCTGGTCGTTGTTATGGCTACCTGATCTGAACATTGACTTTCTTGCTATCATCTCATACTCTCCGTTGAATGAGTGTTTAATGCGCTGCCATCACGAAAAAAGTTTTCTAGTTAATACGCGCATAACCATCTGAAAATTTGAAAAGCACTACATCATCAAGCTTTAGAGTACGAATTCAAAGCAAGCACATCGCACTTTACTTTCCCCAGGCCAATGACACGAGAAGGCTAGGGTAAGTGAGGGTGTAGCTAAATCGTAAGAGGGTGTGATGAAGTTTCTTTCCTCCGTGGCCTTGGATGTGATTATGTCTCTACGTAGCGACTAAGATGTCGTTCGCTAATCCCGACTCGTGCGGGCTTTAATCGGCAACGGAAGCAAAAAGAAGGGAAAAAGCTGAGCGAATATGGAAGAATGGCAATGGCGATGGGCTAGAGTCTGATTATGGTCTGCATAATGGCGGCAGAAGTAGAGCAATTGATGAGTGTAATGAATGAGTGAATGGCCAATCCAATTGAAATGGATGGATTGGACTGGGTCGGCAGGGCCGTGAGAGGTCGGATCAATTCGTACAGTAGAGGAAAGAGAGGCTCCTTGTTGCTAGCTCGTACCTCGAGGACCTTCCGGTCGTACCTGGAGACGGCATGGAGCTCATAACCTGGGGCATATTGGGATTCGCGAGAGACCATGCCAGGAACCTGCGCGAGACTCGTGGGAAGTGACTGATGGGCTCCATCCTAATCCACCCGTCCCGGCTTGGGAAGAGGAATAGACCCATAAAATTCTTTTGTGCTGTGGAGCCCTGCGTCGCCGCAGGACCCGTTTGATGAGACCCCGGTCATCTGTGTTCTTCTTTTCTGTCTTGTCTACTTGTGATGGGGGGGCCACAGAAAGTCAGTGAGCAGCGAGTAAGAGGGCGACGTGCATCAAGTGAGAGACAATCAGTCTTGGAGAAATATGCAGGCATTGAGGTGTGGGACCCACTTCAAGACCGGGTCTCCATCATTTTGATCAGGGCCGAAAGTCTGTTGGCAGGGGCCATGCAACGCATGCACGAGCGTGGGCCGGCAAGCTCGCCGGGAAAGAACCTAGCCCAAGCTTTCTCACGCATCTCACTTTGCAATTCAAAAAGAAGCTCTCGCCCGACCAAAAGTTTCTCTTCTTTCCTTTCCTCTTCACCCACGAATGCTTCATTCATAAGCGACCCTAACTTCGTGCGGTGCTTTGACACTTTCTTCCCTTTTTCCTCTCCACTCTATCTTGTTCCTCTGTTTCTCTCACACAACAACAGAAGCGGCATCAACCTAAGCTATTATTTCCCAATATCTGCTGCCCACCTACAGCCGCACTCTACACACCCTAAGAATCGACATTCTCTTTTCCATCATCTCCAACGATGGCTGAAGAGAAGGCGGCCGGCGCTCCTGCGCTGGACACCAACATCGAGACTGGCGGCTTCGATGAGAAGCGAGGACAAGCTCCTCCCCCCACCCACGCCCCCAAGGCTCCCGTCGCCGAAGATGAGGAGCCCGACGAGGACATGGACGCCCTGATCGAGGATCTCGAGTCCGAGGATGGTCACGCCTTCGACGAAGAAGAAGAGACTCAGCCTGGAGGTGGCCGTGTTGTTCCCGAAGATCAGCTCCAAACCGACTCCCGAGTCGGTCTTACCGAAGCCGAAGTCATCAACAGACGACGCAAATGGGGCCTCAACCAGATGAAAGAAGAGAGAGAGAACATGATCCTCAAGTTCCTCATGTTTTTCGTCGGTCCCATCCAATTCGTAATGTAGGTCTTCTCTTTTACGCTTCCTTCCCTTTACTTTGTATAGCGCCTCGCTATGATGGCTTTATCGCCCTCATCGAGTTTGCTTTCTCTTTTCATGTATTCAATTGCATCCCTCTCGCTTTTCTGCACATTCTGTATCCGCTTTGGCCAGGATATGACGCTCGGATGACTTTCTACGCTGTTCCAGCTAGAATTTGCTTCTTGGTGAAGCCGGTCGCGATACCAGAGATGGTGTTATGTGGACCGGTTTTTAAGCGTGATGTGCCATGGATCCACATTTCCTAATTAGGAAATTTCCACTCACATACAAAAAATACCATCTCTCGGCTGTTTCTCAAACAAATCTGCTCAGAATTCGACGACTAACACCTTCTAGGGAAGCTGCTGCTGTTCTTGCTGCTGGTCTTGAGGATTGGATTGACTTTGGAGTCATTTGCGCGCTTCTCCTGCTCAACGCTTGTGTCGGATTCATACAAGAGTTTCAGGTTTGTTCAACCTCCCCGGCGTTTTTAGAGACCCCTAGGCACCTCTAGACCACCCCGAAGGCCCTTTTCACGTCTCTTAGGCCAACAACTGACGACAATTAGGCGGGATCCATCGTAGAAGAGCTGAAGAAGACTCTTGCTCTCAAGGCTGTCGTCCTCCGTGATGGTACTCTCAAGGAAGTTGAGGCCCCCGAGGTCGTTCCCGGTGATATTCTCCAGGTTGAAGAGGGAACCATCATCCCTGCTGACGGTCGATTCGTTACCGAGGGCTGCTTCGTTCAGGTCGATCAGTCTGCCATCACTGGCGAGTCTCTTGCTGTCGACAAGCACGCTGGCGACAACTGCTATGCTTCCTCCGCTGTCAAGCGAGGTGAGGCTTTCGTTATCGTTACTGCTACTGGTGACAACACCTTCGTCGGCCGAGCTGCTGCCCTTGTCTCCCAATCCGCTGGAGGCACTGGTCACTTCACAGAGGTTCTCAACGGCATTGGTACCATCCTTCTCGTATTGTTTGTCAACCCCAACACTCCAACTGTCTGGAAACTGGGCTAACATCTCTAGGGTCGTCGCTACGCTCCTTGTAGTTTGGGTGTCTTCATTCTATCGGTCTAATGGTATTGTGGATATCCTACGCTTCACCCTCGCAATCACCATCGTTGGTGTGCCTGTCGGTCTTCCCGCTGTCGTCACAACCACTATGGCCGTCGGAGCTGCATACCTCGCCAAGAAGCAGGCCATTGTCCAGAAGCTTTCCGCCATTGAGTCTCTGGCTGGCGTCGAGATTCTCTGCTCTGACAAGACTGGTACTCTGACCAAGAACAAGCTCTCTCTCGCTGAGCCTTTCTGTGTCGCTGGCGTTGAGCCTGATGACCTGATGCTTACTGCTTGTTTGGCCGCCTCCCGCAAGAAGAAGGGTATTGACGCCATTGACAAGGCTTTCCTTAAGGCTCTCAAGTACTATCCCCGTGCCAAGAGCGTTCTGTCCAAGTACAAGGTTCTCGACTTCCACCCTTTTGATCCCGTCTCCAAGAAGGTGCAGGCTGTTGTCGAGTCTCCTCAGGGCGAGCGTATCATCTGTGTCAAGGGAGCCCCTCTCTTCGTTCTCAAGACTGTCGAAGAGGACCATCCTATCCCTGAGGAAGTGGATGCAGCCTACAAGAACTGTGTGGCCGAATTCGCTACCCGTGGTTTCCGATCTCTTGGTGTTGCCCGCAAGCGAGGTGAGGGTGCTTGGGAAATCCTCGGAATCATGCCTTGCTCTGACCCTCCCCGTCACGATACTGCCCGCACTATTAACGAGGCCAAGCGCCTTGGTCTCTCCATCAAGATGCTTACTGGTGATGCCGTCGGTATTGCTCGTGAGACTTCTCGTCAGCTCGGTCTCGGTACCAACGTTTACAACGCTGAGCGTCTTGGTCTCGGTGGTGGTGGTGACATGCCTGGTTCTGAGGTTTACGATTTCGTTGAGGCTGCCGATGGTTTCGCCGAGGTTTTCCCCCAGCACAAGTACAACGTCGTCGAAATTCTTCAGCAGCGTGGTTACCTTGTTGCCATGACTGGTGATGGTGTCAACGATGCTCCCTCTCTGAAGAAGGCTGATACCGGTATTGCTGTTGAGGGTGCTTCCGACGCTGCCCGCTCCGCTTCCGACATTGTTTTCCTTGCTCCTGGTCTTGGTGCTATCATTGATGCTTTGAAGACTTGTAAGTTACCATTCTGTTGTCCTGTGTCGTGGTTTGTGGTTGGTTTGTCTTGCCTTTTTCGCGATGACCTCCACCATGACACAAAGACCACCCCTTCATCATAAGAACTATGCTAACAAACCCCGAAGCGCGCCAGATTTTTCATCGGTGATTATTGCCTTCTCCATTGTGTCCTGGAACCTCTACTGACCGTCTTTTAGTATGTATGCCTACGTCGTCTACCGTATCGCTCTGTCTCTTCACATGGAGATCTTCCTTGGTCTCTGGATCGCCATCCTCAACAGGAGCTTGAATATCGAGCTTGTCGTTTTCATTGCTATCTTCGCTGATATTGCTACTCTTGCCATTGCTTACGACAACGCTCCCTTCTCCCAGACACCCGTCAAGTGGAACCTCCCCAAGCTCTGGGGTATGTCCGTCCTTCTCGGTGTTGTCCTTGCTGTTGGTACCTGGATTGCTCTCACTACCATGTACGCCAACTCTGAGGATGGTGGTATCGTCCAGAACTTTGGTAAGATCGACGAGGTTCTCTTCCTTGAGATTTCTCTCACTGAGAACTGGCTCATCTTCATCACCCGTGCCAACGGCCCCTTCTGGTCCTCTATCCCCTCTTGGCAGCTGTCTGGTGCCATTTTGATCGTCGATATCCTTGCCACTCTCTTCTGTATCTTCGGTTGGTTCGTCGGTGGCCAGACCAGCATCGTCGCTGTCGTCCGTATCTGGATTTTCTCCTTCGGTGTCTTCTGTGTCATGGGTGGTCTCTACTACTTCATGCAGGGCAGCACTGGATTTGACAACCTGATGCACGGCAAGTCCCCCAAGCAGAACCAGAAGCAGCGATCCCTCGAGGATTTCGGTAAGTTTAAGCATTGCCCAGACGTTGACCTTCAGTTCACTAACTCTATGTCAGTTGTCTCTCTTCAGCGCGTCTCGACTCAGCACGAGAAGTCTCAGTAAAATAGATGGTATATACCCGGACCACCATCGACCGGACTTTTCACTTTCGCTCTGTCCAAATTTGAACTGTATTGCTCGCACCCGAGTATTAAGACTCCTGGAGTGGTTGAGGAAACTTTCATACCCCTAGAGAACGTCTACTAGACACCTAATAATACAAGTAAAATAAATAATTCGTCCTCTGATACATGTGTGATCCTTAATTTGTATCTGTGCATATCTGCTTTCGCTCTCTCTGTGCTCACCTGATGCTTGGCTATCAACTCCTGGCCTGCAGCATGGCCTTTCATTTGGGTCAGTACAGACCCACCATCCTTGATTGGCCTTTGCTTCAGCCTCGCCTAAGCACCATCCACTCAGTGTGACATCAGTTTGCAACCTGAAGCCCCCTCCGTATCTTAACTGCTCACATTTGCCGCTTCACAAATTCTGATAACTTCATTACTCCGCGTTCCTTGTCAAAAACCAGTTGTGGAAGCTGTCAAGTGTCATAAGGACGATCATGAATCGCGAAATCCCTGGCTATTACTACGGTACAAAATTCTGGCAGACAACTGAAGTTCGTGTACTTACTTACATTTTGGCAGATAATGAGAAAAAGAAGTATTTCAAGATCGAAAAAACGCATACGGCGCCCTCGTCGGCTGCTTGGTCGTCGGACGCCGTGAAAAGGCGCAAAGTCGAGCATGAGGCACAAAAACTTGCTGAACGCCAAGCGCATCAAGTAAAGAAACACATAAAGCGCCATTTCGTTGCCAGAGATACAGTCTCCTCCGCACTCCTTACGAGGGAGATCGGTCTTCCCTATGTCGCCGAGAGCGGCCGTGGTAGAGTAGAGGATGAAGACCTTGGTGCTGCAGGGTGGGCAAGAGGCTTAGTAGCCAAAGGCAACATCCCTTTTGCACCAAGCTTTGCAAGGGAGCGACATGCAAATATGCCGTGCTTTTATGTTTCTGGGGAAGATGAGAAGACTGGTCTTGGGGCTTCTTATGCCAGTAAGTCCTGGGGCTGCAACAGTGCATGACTTACACATGATGTCTGACTTGTCTTTCAGCTTTGGATGAGGAGACTTTGGTGGGAAGCTATATACCTACAGATGAGAATGACGAGTTGGTCTTCGAGGCCGGATGGTGCTTTAATCTACTGACATAGTACAGAATCCGCTTCTCAAGAGAAGCACCCAGCTCTTCCGGCAGAACCCTTTCATTCCGTACAGAAGCGGTACGGTGTCCACAGATGTCCTCAATCAAGTACCACCAGCCTTCACATACGATACTCTTGACTTCGCGCGAACCTGACAATACCTGCGGAATATACTTCTTTTCTCCACGACTGTCAAATCATAGGGACCCCAATTGCCCGCAATGGCTGCTTGGCGAATGTACCTATTCTTCTGCTTGACCATGTATTGAACCCTGCTGACTTGCAAACAGCAATTCTCTACCAGAGAGTCGCTGTCCCTCATGAGGGACGTGGCGAATGGATGGTTCACAATAGCACGCCCGCCCCCCCATCTTCGGACCTTATTTGTGTTGCTAGCTCCAACAGAGGCCTCCTCAAAATGCACTCTGAGGGGAGCGTCTCAGTGGTTGCCCCAAGAACCGCCCAGAACGGTATACAGCTCCCACAAGAAGCATTTGCACAAGATTTCCAGGAGGGAAACCATAACGTCGTGTTTACTGGCGGGAGGCAGCCCAGGCTTTGGATAACAGATCTTCGCGCCCCTGAACCGCAATGGTCGTTTGCGAACCATGCAAGCTCCATCTCCCATATCAAGAGTGTAAACCCACATCAGGTGCTGGCATCAGGATTAAAGAGCTCAATGGCTCTCTACGACGTGCGCTATCTTTCAAGTGACCCGCTTGGAACAAAGCCAATGCTGCATTTTAACGGGCATCGCAATGAGGCTCACTTTCACATTGGTTGGGATGTCAGTCCGGAACTGAAAGTCGTGGCTGCAGCACAAGATAACGGTACTGTAAAGCTTTTTTCACTCCGATCAGGTCGCAAACTGCGATGTCCGGCTGTCGAACTTATCCACACCGATACACCTGTCAAGGCGCTGATGTTCCAGAGGATGCCTAGAGAGAGGATGCCAAGTCTTTTTGTTGGGGAAGGGCCTTTACTAAGGAAGTTTTCCTTCGGAACATTGAAATGGGATGATGAAGCTTGAAACTCGCCCCCGGATAAGATACTTTGTAGAAATTGCATGACAAAGGCGCAGGTGAGGTTTTGGTTTTGAGGAAACGAAAGTCTTGGTGGAATATCTCATGAAATCTAAACTCTATAATAACTTGACCATAAAGGAAAAAAGGCATAAGAAAATTGATGTGAACGCAATGAAAAGACAGCTTATGCCCAACTCTCTTCCAATCTCTCAAAGAGATTGGAGAAACCCCCTTCCATGATCAAGAGATATCCTGAAATGAGCCTTTCAATCTCAACTCTCGCTGTCCTCGTCTTCCTCTGTACCCTCGTCATCCTCAACATCGGCTTCGTCCTCAGTCTTGCCCCGCGATGCTTGGGTCGTCTCCAGCTGCCATCGCATTCACGATCTAGATCGTCCCCCATCTGTGCACATCCTTTGCATGGTTCTCTTGAGGTAGATGGAGGGTGGAAACAGACAATCTCATGGCCTTCATCATCCCTGGCGGCCTTGCAGTTGGTGCACTTACCAGGGCAACGATCCTGATGGCCTCTAATCATGCTTTTGATGTATTCTCTCCCACAAAAACGACAGGGAACCATGCATGCTAGTTTCTCTTCAACTTTGCAGATGGTGTTCTTTGCTATGCAGTCTTCACAACGCCGGTTTCTTTTCCCACGCTGGCAGGGTTTGTGGTCTGTGACGCGCTATCGGGTGTGAGTAGTCGTTGCAAGGCCCCTTTCCGAGGCGATTGCACTCTTCGCAAATCTTGGAGAACCTAGACCGAACGCAGGGAATCCGTGCCTTCTTGCATACTCCGCATTGGCCCTGGCAGTATGGCCTGCGAGTTCTCATGTCGTGCACTGGAGCCTTAGATTTCTTGCAAGTCCCTCTCTTGTCGTGCGAAAAGCTGCCACAATCTTGATCTTGGGCGTGGCAATTCTTGCATTTGTGGTTTCCTGCAAAGTTTCCTCGCGTGCAAGGCACCTTTTTTGCAATGCAGTTCTGGCATCGACCACGACACTCGCGGACGTGAGAATAGATGTTTCCCACAAACTGCAGGCACATGTAACACTGCTCTGGCCCCTTTGGCAATGCTTCCTCTTTGTGCGAAGGCTTTCTGCATTTTTGTTTCGTAGGACAGGTGACGCAAGTCTTGTTTCCCACCGGGCGCACGCAAGGAACATGAAGCTGGACGCATGCGCGGCAGCGCCCAACACACGACGGTTCGTGCTCGGCGAGTCTGTGTATGAAAGCTAAGCATCTGCCGCAAGTACCTGAATCCAAATCATTGAGGCCGAAGGGGTCCCCTTCCTGTGGTTGTTGCGCACCTTCGAAAGACGATGCGCCTCTGAGCCTCTCCCAGTTTGGTCCCAGCAGAGCCTTGCGCCTAAACTCAGCATTTTCACCAGACTCATACAACTGGCTGCAGGCTTCAGGAGCATGTTGACCTTTGCGGTCACTGGGAGCGAGCCCTTCTGCCACTATAGAGACCGAGGCCCAGTCAATCGCAGCGGTTGCCAGACAATAACTGGCTTCCTCACAGCTGTAGTACACACCATCGTTTGCAGTTGTGCCACCTGGATTGAAGCGGCAAAGAGAACCGCTAGTTTCAATTCGTCAGGCTGAGTCAATGGAAAAATCAGGTCGGCTTCGGTAAACGCGGGCACGAGGGGTGTGGTTCTGGTCTTCACAGGCGCCTTACCATAGGCACCCGGAACGCTGTCTTCTGGTGAAGAGAACTCGACAGTTTCGGATTGTCCCCCAGAACCCAGGTCAGATTCCTGCTCGCCATCGCTGTAAAGGTCGTCCTTATCGTCATGACTGCCGTCGGTGTCCGACACTTCACTGTAATTGATTCTTCTCCGCTTAAGGCGGCTGCTCCGACGAAGAGAGGGCGGCGAACGAGAACGAGAACGAGCACGGGAACGAGGCTGCAGCTGGGACCCTTCACCCTCATCGTCTGCAAACTGATACTCCATCATAGACTCAGAGCAGTCCACAATGCCAAGAGCATCACCGCAAAGCTGGCTTCTGGACTCCTTACCCGCAAACTCCCAGAAACAGTCGCTGCGAACGCCTTCTATGTGGGGAAACATCAAGAGGAATTGAGCATAATGATGGGTCGGTGCCGAAGTGAACGAATTGCCTGAGATAAGAAAGCAAGGTGAGTCAGAGGTCCTGCTGATGCAAGAACCATCTGAATCCCCTTGGGCTCAAAGTAGGGAATCCGGAGACGCATGATATCGAAAACACGATCAATGAGGTGTACCAGCCATGCTGGCACGTCTCTTATCAGGTTGGAGGGTCCAATGATCGTCAAGCTCCGGCCATGAGAATGGGCCCCATATCTCACGAGGAAATTGATGTTGTCGTCGAACGGTGACACGATGAATGTTTCCCGTCTTTTCCCAGGTGCTGGATCTTGGAAGTGCTCTGTGACGGCTTCCAATATCTCCATCTTGGCAGCATCACTCTCTGCTTCGAAATATGACCTAACAAGGTATCTTGGTACAATCGATTCATGGGAAGGGTCTTGAAAGACACCTTCAGCTACTGCGCAGAACGCATCTGTAGTGAGGTTGTTACCAGGCATGATGGAGACGAGATCATTCCTAGTTGATTCGGAAGTAGTGTACTCCGGGTAGAGAGGTACTGCCTCTTCGATGTCTGCCAACGATTCCGAGGGCGGATTCCCGGCCATGGGTACGTCCTCGTCCTTGTCAACAGAACCCGCGAATGGAGGCATTGTCAAGGTACAGGTAAGATAATGGAGGGAGGGATGGTGAAATGCAAAGGTAAATACGATGTTGATCCGAAAAGGAAGTAAGAAGAGCAAGTGAAAACAAATGGAATAAAACAATAGGAGTAAGAAAGGATATGGATATCACAGAAGTCCTAGGAAAGACGTTACTGTCCAGCAGTGTCCGTCAGTATAGGTAAAAGTCGGTAATAAGTTGGATTTACAGTCTTGAAGGTAACATAGGGATTCATGTCTTATGAACAAATTTGAGGGCATTGAAGTGCCTGATCGCTCACAGTCTTCTCATTCCCTTACCAGGGGCTACGTAACTAGCAGATCAACCCAAACAACTAATTACGAGAGTGTCAAAGAAAGTCACCAAACAAAAGGGTATGTGAATAGAGCCAGTGGCAATACTTTATTTAGATCGTAAGCTTTGCAACAATATCAAAGCGCGGTAGAGGCACTTCGTCAGTCGCATAGCCCTGAGACTGAAGCTTTGGCGATGTATTTACGAAGGGAACTAGGTGAGGCGCCAGGGATTAGGAACCATTCCTCCATCATTTGTTTCGCTGGAACGTCAGTCACTGGATTTTCTTCTTTCGTTCAAGCCCGATGTGTCAACTCCCCTGTCTGTTGGCAACGCCACAACCATCAAAATAGCCCCTGATAGAGAATGACTGCTCACAATATGGCACCCAATATGGCTTGGTAATGGGGAAAGCGGGTACCTTCAGCCCATTCTCATATATAGCGATGTATCTGAGAGAAATGCTAAGACAAAGGTGAGAGAAGACGTGACATTTGGCAAGCTGATAGTTGACCCGTGTTCAAATTCCACTCCAACAAGGACGAATCTTTACGAATATCAGGTTCTCAGGACTGTAAAGTCCTATTCGTCGTGAGATACTTCCATTGACCAGATAATCAATTTCAGCCTCAAGCGTCGTGAGAATAGATGGCTTGTTGAAATGACACATGGATTGACCACATGACCCTGTATGAAGACCTTGTCGTCTAAGATTTCTCTGTATTGATCAGACAAGCCAAGCTCACTAGTTTGCAATTTGTAGGGTTCAAGATGACCATTCAGCTACATCCAACAGCTCGCCTGTTGATAGTCAAACCTCGCAAAACGCCAATATTGGTCATACTTTCTATATTAACATCACCGTAAGATAACTGAAGCCTGAATGACACGGAAGCTCGCCTTAGCTCTGACTCACCGCTCAGTCCTGTTTGTAATTCCTTTGTTGTAGCCCTGTTGTAACTTGGTAGGCCTTATAGATAACCTGACCTGTCACTCTCTAATGCTGTGCCTTCCGAATTAAAGGCACAGTGAATCAGAGTTGCAGTTACATGCCTTACCTAGAATGTCACAAAGGATTTCGCTCCTAAGGACAGAAGGAACAAAATTTGTATTGCCAGCTGCTGCCAACTGTTTACTCGTTGGCTTTAAAGTATCCTTCCTATAAATTCTCATCCTGTACTTTTCTCTTTTTCCCAAGCCATATTGCTTCCATCAATTCCCATCACTTATTTGCACTCACCTCTGCACAGAAAGACGACTTCCATATCTCATCCCCTCTCTTGTGTATAACGCCATATATTGTGCTGTTAAAGAAACACTCTTGTGTTGCTCTAGCTGTACAACCTCTGGCCTTACTCATCTCTTCATCTAATCCCTTACTACCATCGACTACCCACTTCCCTATTTTGACCAGGCTTTCTCAGCCAGTAACTACATCAGGATGCCTACCACGAAGAAGGTAGGACTCTGAATACTGGTGTAAGAACCCGATTCTGATGAAGACAAGGCTATGAATCAATCAAAAGAGAACGAGTACGAGTGCCACGTGTGCGGCGACAGGCTTTCGACATCGGCATCTTTGGACCGGCACATCTTAAACCTGCACAGCGATGATAAAGAGTGGTTTAAGTGCCCTGATTGTGGTAAAGTCTTTGCCAGGCGTTACGACATGAACGATCACCAGAAGCGTAAACATGGCCCCGATCCCACCAAGTTCGAGTGTCAATACTGCTCCAAGAAATTTGAGCTCCGTCAGGGCAGGGACTCGCATGAGGAGGGCCACACTAAGTTCCAATGCCCTCGGAACTTATGTTACAAAACGTTCGATACTGCAGAAGGGGCAATCGCCCATGCAGAAGATCCTGATCATCGTGCAGACCAAGTTCTGTACAAATGCCCTCTCTCCACTTGCCGTTTAACGGTTGTTGGCAAGGTTCTTAAAAGAACTGATCTGGTAAAGCACTGGAAAATACACCAGAAACAGGGTCATGTTTCTCAAGATAAAGAACTGGAGTATATAACAGCCGAGCAGCCACGGTTCAACGGGAACGTTCCGCTGTTTGTAGCTATACTAAAGCACAACAAGTCACTGAAAGCCTCGCCTCATGAGGCCGACAACCTCGTGGAAGAGCCTCTTGAAGAGCATTATGAAGACCGCGAAGAAGAGGGCAGCCGTGACCTGGAGGAGGAAGAAGATGATGCAGTCCTTGACCGAGACGTCGACATCCTTCGACAGAATGAAGAATGGTGGGGTATGTAATGCGATACAATTTCACCTTTCCCTCTAAGAATGGAAGAGCTGACAAGAAACATATTAGAAACCCACAAGGACAGGCCTGTCTGCCTAAATGCCCGAGGGTACGAATGTGCTGGGCCAGGCTTGGAATCCAAAGCCTTCATTCTCGAACGATGCCAGGACCGAGCAATCATCGACATGAACACGGCTATACTCACCAATAGTCGGGGCCGAAAGGTTCCTACGTTATCGCTGGACAGCAGATGCGTGAAATGTCACGCAGAGATGAGGATGAGGCAGCTCACAACGAGGTTTGATTCGCCTCGGAAGCTTTCTTTCGACCTCGGAAAACTTGGAGATGACTTCGCAACTGCTGCATCAAAGCGTTGGAGTTGTCCCCCGCAGTATGCACAGTATGAAACAGAAGTCAGGAAACCAGTCAGGGACATGCGGCTCAATGGGCAACATACTGGCCCACGAAAGTTCGTGATCCTCGATAACGAATTCAATACCACGACTCGCGAGCTATATGAAACGGCCATCATTGATCGGATTACGGGAGAGGTCTTGATCAACACCGTTATAAGACACACCGATGCCACTAAAGCCCCACCGCTTCCTCCAGGTGCCGTCGGGCAGAAGATGGAATACATAGCGGATCGACACAGGAGAAAGTTTTACCCTCCCAATGGCGAATTGACGCAGATGGATGTTGACCAGGTTGCTGAAGCTCTTCACAGATCTGGCATTACACCAGAGACCATTTTTATCTGTTGGCACAACAACAAATTCGATCTTACCATCCTCAGAGAGTTCCTGGAAAAGGGTGGCTACACAGGCATCGTACCTGGAGATGATAAATGTTTTCCCTTGATTCCAATCTTTAAAAAAAATGTCCCAAAAAGTCTCGTCATGAGGCTCGAAGTGCTGTTCCAAGTCCTTTATCCAGCACATAGCCTGATTGGACACAACCACAGAGCCCTTCCTGACTGCCAGCAGACACGGTTGGTCTGCGAGTGTTTGGACGAGATGTTCGAGAAGTCGGACAACCGATCTGACAGATGGAAAGCGCAGACCCTCAGACGCTTCTACAAAAAAGCTATGATTCAGCAGTCTATTGCTGACTGGCTTCAGCCAGACAAGAAGCGCAATGCTGATAGTCTTGATGCCAAGGTGTCTGTTGAGAACAAACGTCCGAGAAGGCAGTAACCCATGAGTACAATGCCATCAAAGACGTCGGAAAATCAGTCGTTGGGTTGGCGGGGGATGGAAAAAGAAAAGAAAACAAAAAAGGTCAAGAGGGTAGAGAGGGTAGAGAGAGGGTAGAGGGTCGGGAATCTGAGGATAAGTCATGAGATTAGACTAGAATTTAGGGTCATTATAATGAGGTTGTATAAATTTAGACTAGACCTAGGCCAGCTTTTGAAAAGATTGGATTGCCCCGGGGGAACTTCATCCTAAAGTCTTCAAACAGCAACGGGGTTTTCGTTGGCTACCATCCAAGTCACTCGCTGCTTTACTTACCTAAACCTAGTGATTATACCCTTAACCCGCGTGCGAACATGCATGGATACGTATTTTGGTGGCTCTGAAAACAAAGAACTCCGATAAGTGCGGTAAATACCGTGTACCCTGGCCTGGCAACAACCATGGTCCAGAAATCCCGTCACAATATGACATCCCCTTTTCCCTTGGACAAAGACAACCCGAAGTCAACCCTCCAAGACTTGGAGGAACGAACACACAAGACGCCGATCGCGAGATAAACATTGTTGTACAGAGTAGTTACTTCAAAACAGTACTTTTCTAGCACCTGTGTCATCGGCTACTGGACGAAGTTGGTCGTGGCGAAGTAGATAGGCTGAGGTTGAATGTTCCAACTAGCTTAGGAAAGGCCTTGGCAAAAGCATCACCCAACTTCCAATTATCCAGGTTCCGTAGATGGCGCTCAAAGACGGGATTGATCATGAGCTCATCACTGTCTGGGTCCTGAAGTAACGTGTCGGTCTCCTCGTATGGCCAAGACAACGATAGAGTTGTGGTAAACGGGACAAAGAAATTATCAAAGGGGTGAAGAAGCGGGTTGTGATCGCGAACAAGATAATCTCGCATCTTAGGGAAGGGGATGTGGTCAAGCCAGGCAGCATGTGGAATGGTGAGCTGAGAAGGGCATGGCGCCATCCATTTTGGGAGCCGATCATAGTTCTCCTGAGTAGGTTCTATTTGCCAGCGCATGACAAGAAACATGATGTAAAGCACGGCTACACGCTCAGGGAGAGTCGAAATGTCAGGAAAGGTGGCGAGGATATCGGTGAAGACTTTGGAGAGAGGGTGACTGTAAGCGCTGTTGGCAGGGTTGAGAAGTGATGAGACAGAAGGATAACGAGGACCAACAACATCCTGAGCAGGCAGCCCATCCGCAGCACGTTGGCGACGTTCGCTGAGGAAATCGAGTAGTAAAGAGTCAAGAGGACAGGTCGGTGGGCAATTCTTGATGGGGGTTGCAGGATCGGTAGTGCTGGGTTCACTGCGAGGAACAGGTCCACCAGCTGTACTCATGGCAGGGCTATAGCCGGGACTGTGCGAGCTTTCGGGTGTATGGGCAGCCGACAGTGTATGGTGGGATGGGGGTTGATGCTGGCCTTGCTGTTGCTCCTGTGACGGCTGGCCTGGCTTTCCTTGAGAGCCCCAGCTTGCCGACCGACTATGCAACGCACGCTCTTGATTGACGCCTGTCCAGTCGTGCTTCATAGGTATATGGCGGAACTGTGGCGTGTCTTGGGCGCCGTTGACACCATTCTGTATCCGGTTCACCCGCTGAGATGGTTCGAGTAGGAATTCTAGTCCAAGACGTTCAGGGCCCATATCGAGTCCATGTTGGAGATTTCTGCGCTGTTGAGTCAATTGGCTGGCAGCCTGAGCTTCAGCAGTGCTTGGTGGGCCAGGAGGTGGATGGGGTGAGTGGTGATGTTGAGGAGGCGCATGGTGCCCCTGGTGATGCCAGTGACCCTGACTTGGTGGAGGGTCATGACTTGGAGGAGACGCAACACTGCCGGGTGTCGAAGCAGCGTTTGCATTGTTATGGTGATTATTGTGGACGGCCAGAGTAACAGAGTGCTGTACTGGGGGCGCATACGTCTGAGCTGGTGATACGTATGCTTGTTCAATGCCAGCTATACACTGTGTTAGTCCTGAATATTGGGAGAAGGAAAATGAGATGGTTTACCTTGACCAATAATGGGCTGGAGCATGGCAACTATGCCAGCTAAACGACGCTTGATGTCGGCATTCTCTTGCTCAACAGCTTCTTTGGCACGAAGAACGCTCTGTAGTTCTTGGTAGGGTTGCTGGTTGGTGAGTTCCTGGATCTGGCGCTGAAGATCCTCGATCTGATTCTTGGTCCGCTCACGAATGGCCCGCTGAGCCTCACGGTCTAGAATGGTGTTAGTAATGTTGCATATATCTTATCGCACACGATGAGACCAATGAGGTAAGTCTCGAGATAGGAAGAGATAGACATGAGAAGATCAACAGAAACAAAGACGATCATTATTCGTCAGCAGCCTGAGTGACTGGACGGTGATAGGGTGGTTGATATGCCATGTCACCAGAAAGGAAAGAAAAAACTGCACTCACCATTCGCTCTCTTCTTAGCAAGTTGCTCAGGTGTCAAATTGGCGACACCTCGACTTCCAGGACCAGCCTTCTTCCTCCTCTTTGCGCCATCATCACCACCAGCGGGTGAGCTTGGGTTGACCGCGTCGGCGTCGCGTTTGAGGGAAGCCGAATCATCGTCCGGGCCAGGGCCGAAGCCAGCGGGACTCTGAACGGTGCCTGGGGTATCGGGACCGGAGGCCATCGGAGCGGAAGCGGGAGGAAGCCCCCGTCTCGGAGTGGGTTTGTCCCCGGCAGTTGAAGCGGAACAAGACCGAGGCGAGAGGGAAAAAGGCTGACTGAGGCGGAATGGAGGTTTGTGTCTGAGAGTGTGGGGGTAGACGAACGAGGATGAGTCGTTGTGTATCCACTCGCTCGACGAGCCAACCTTACCTCAACGAGGTTCCTTGCCTTTCAGTCAAGAGGAAAACCTCTTCCGACCTGGCAAGAAGGGTCCTGCCTCGTCTCGCGTCTGATCGCTCCTGTCTGCTTCACTCGCTCGCTCGACTCAACGAGTCAGGACGAAGCAATGCAATGCAGTGTACGACACGACACGACCCAGCAAGGGGAGTTTTAGGGGAAATAGCCCGGTAATGAAGATGAAGATATCCAATCCCTTCTCACCTGTGGGGTCACTTCCCCTACTCGATACTTCTCTGCAGCGAGAGAAAAAAAAGGGAAAGGGCGAGACCAGGCCAGGGGCTAGATCGAGTCGTCGGCTGCACAGCACAAGCACAAGCACGAGCAAAGCGAATCAATCGATTAACGACCGACCGGGTCTGTGGAAACAATTGTAACTGGAAAGAGACAGGCACAGCTTCTGAGGGGGGACTGTTGACTCATAAAGCCCGCCAGCTCCAGGTTGAGAACGAGTCATGGACCCTCACAAAATTGGGCTTGAGGGGTGAACCATGGACGCACAGACCACGGGCCACCGTCGAATCAGGTGACTCGGTAATTTAGCGAAAACTCCCCCAACAAGATAGGATCTGGGGATAATAAGACCGAGTGTGACCGTGAGAATAAGCGCACTGACACGCATACATTTCCATAGGAGATGTTCATTGTTTTTATCATGATGAAGGTGCATTTATTCTAAGACTTCCAAGAAACTACTATATTATCGGTGTTGGTGGTAATTCATGTCACCTTAACAGTTCCGTGACAATTTCGACCTCGTCTCAGTTGACTACCCTGTGATACTGAGTTTCAACTATATAGTTCTCAAGAAATAGTTGCGAGACTTAGACTCATTGTCTAGAGAGCTTGTTATTTCACACCGTCAATCTATAGGGCATTCATCCCAAAAAAAACATGCATCAATACTGTGATGGTACAATTACTATAAAGCCACCAACGAAACGAGATTATCCTCTCTCCAAGTCTCTTACATCAATGTCTTCCTATCCCACAAAATCTCTACCATCCCTTGCCCTGTCCTTTTGTGTGTCTCGTCTTCAAGCTCATCAGGCACCCTGCTATAGCCATACACCCAATTGCCTATATTCAACAAACCCAATCCGTGGCATTCCCAAGTCCAACGTCTACTCTGCCGATGCTCTTGCAAGAGCCTCGTGTAGATGAGGTGGGAATCTGTATCGCAACTGACTGGTGTACGTCGTCAAATCCAGCGTCATCTGCTTCAGCTGATCCACCATCAATCGTCGTGTGCCTTCATTGCCGCTGAACTGGCCGCTTGTGAGCTGCTCTCGCTGGCGAACGCAGCAAATAATGGTCCACATCAATAGGTTGGGCACATTGATAGAAACGGGCTGTGAGAGTCCAGAAAACTTCGAGGCATATGCTCGAATGGTGCTGCCATCGCCTGCTGCATCCAGAGGGAGGATTTCGAGGCTTCGGATTCTCTGTTCTTTTGGTCAGCACAATTCAGTATTCGAGAGATCTGTAAACTCACGTCGAGGCACTGAGCCCACTGTCCGGATTCCACTAATCCCTTGATGCCGCTCATTTCGAGTAGCACCCGGCAAGCGACCTTGTTCTGGTCCTGAATCCTCCTATAGAACATGGCGTCTCGCTCGTACATGCTCATCATGGTCTTGGCCAACTCGACAGGATCATCAATTGCTGCTAAGCTGAGACTGCTGCCGGCGTCGGCCTCTTGTCCACCAGCCCGGGGCTTGACAGGCATGAGACGCATAGGGTCTTCGCCAATCTCGAGAGACACAGCCTCGCTTAATGCGCGACTGACAATGGCAACGACGGTATCATATTCACCAGCCAGATGGTATAGCAACACGGAATCTGTGGTACGACCGTTCTCATCCGCAAAACTGGCGGCCTGAAGCGTGACAGTGTTGACAAAGTCGTCCTCAGCATCAAGTCCAATGAGAGGACCGCGCTCCTCGATGATACCACGGATTCGTCGACCATCTGGTCGGATATCACCAATCAGCTTGCTGAACTCGCGTGTCTCGAGAACCAACTCGCGGAGAGCCTCGTGGCAGAGGCTGCCGTGTCGCTGGCCAGCTTCACCGCCAAGATCCTGGTTCAGGCAGATGAGGGTCAGGTAGTCCACAGCAGACACGACATCAGCGGCTCTAAAGTCACGAGTGTAGTAACCAATCATGCGGCCAAAGTTGATCTGAGGTAGGTTCTTGGTGCTGTAGCTTCGCAAGTCGTTGGATGGTGACATGGCGTCGCTTGGTCGGAGCAGACCGTAGAACTCGAGTGCGAGTCCAAAATGCACAGCATCGACGTATGAGAAGGGATACAGGTAGGCAATGGCATCCTCAAACATACCCGAGAGAATCTGCAGGTAGAAGAACATGCCAAAGCTGCCGTTGCTGTCCTCTGAGCTGGCCTTGGGGAAGTGCTTCAGACCGATTTCTCGGATGCTAGACTGCAACTCAGCCAAGCCATATGACTCGCCAGCCATCTCGATCGTCTTATCGCCTTCTCTCGCCAAGTTGAACTGAAGCCAGATCCAATCATTGATATCTGTGTTAAGTCCGTCCAGGTTGCGGTTACCGAGCTCGATACGTCCGATAACCTTATAACAGGCCATGCGGAAAGGGTCAATTGAGTTTTCAGGGGCGTTGCGCGAGCGCTGAATGTACTCGTTTGTGCAACGATCTAGAAGCTTCCTGTTGGTGATACGACGATCCTCACTGGCAGCGTAGTTGTTCAAGTACGTTGCAAAGGTTCTATCAATGCCTCGGAACTGATTGGTGTTGTCGTTAACATACTTAGCCGCCTCACTCACATGTCCTGAGCGGAGCAGATAAAACACAATAGCCCAGACATATTCACCCTGAACCTGCTGAAGCTCAGTATTGTCGGGAACCAGATCCTTTCGTGCAGACCGTAGTCGGATGTACGCCTTGACCTTGCTGACAATATCGGGGAGACCTCCAAGCTTCGCCTCGTGAGGATGCTTAGCAATAAGTGACTCAACTTCGCGCAAAAACTGCTTCTCAAGGAAGACATTTGCGCCGCTGAGGATACGCTTTCGCATCTCGACAGCCTTGGCTGAGTTGGGGTTGTCGTTGAGATACATATCTGCAAATTCGCGCTCCCTGGCCGTGGCATTGTTAAGTGTCGTCTCGGCATCAGGGTTCTCGCCTACAATCTCCATGACTGCAAGGTAAGCCTCAACAAGATGCGGCGCATGGGGTTCGTGTGACTTTTTCTCAACAGCCGCGAGCTCAGAGAGAATGGGATAAGGTCGCTTAAGAAGACGAGCTGTGTTGAGGTTGCGAATCTTCTCTGACAGACGCCCTTGCCTCTCGCGAAGCACTCTATCGTCAGAGGGAACACGACCATCCAGGCCACCAGACTCAGAAGAGCGATCGACATCTGAGAAATCAGTGGCATGCGCTCCAATTCGGCTTGGTGTTCCGATAACAGATTTCTGAAGTGTCGACCGACCAAGAACACTGGCCCTGCCGGTCTTTGCTGCAGGGGCCTGGCTCTTGCGCCTAGATCGACCGAAAGCGCTCTGAGATTCACGACCAGAGGTAGCAACATCCTCACGAGGCGAGATTCCAAAGTGCTGGTAAATGCGCTTTCGTTGCGCCTCCCATTCCATTGTAACATTGTCTTCGAGGAAGTTATCAAAGTCGCGAACCGATCTATCGATCCCGTCGGCAATCATGCTAAGAGTCGTCTTGGTCTGGAGGTTCGAGAGGTATGTTTCGACATCGAGTTCGCTAGGGGCGTATCCATGGGTAGTTCGCTCAGTGCGGCCAGCCTGGACATCAAGTAGGCCAAGATCTTTAGCAGCAACACCAGGATCAACACCAGAGGCTGCAAGAAGATAGTGAGCCTTTCCACCAAGAGGTTTGTCGCTAGGCTTTGATTGGAGCTTCTTCAATCGATGTCGCAAATCGCCCAAGCCAAGCTCGAGACTCGGTAGGTCCTCCATGTTGGCTTTACCATCAGCTTTCTGGCTTTTGGCAAAGAGACTGTCGAAATAGGCACCCGCTGGCTGTGATTGCGATTGTCCATTGGGGGCCTGGCTGGCAAAAAGACTTCCTCCCAGGGTGCTTCCGCCAAGGGTGCTTGCACCAAGCATCGAAGGCGCGTTCTGCTGGGGTTGCGGCTGCTGCTGCTGCGGTTGACCGAACAATGAGGGTTTTGCAGCTGCCGCGGGCTGTGCTAGGGAAGAACCAAACAGCGATGGCTTCTGTTGTTGCTGCTGAGCGCCAAACAGACCGCCTGTAGTTCCACTCTGCTGAGTCTGCGCAGGTTGTTGTCCAAACAGTCCAGTGCCAGTTCCGGCGCCCGTGGTTGTGCTGGCCGGCTGTGTCGTTGACTGACCGAAGAGACTACCGCCTGTGTTACCGGTCTGCTGCTGTTGTTGCGGCTGTCCGAAGAGGCTAGTACCCGTGGTAGCTGGTTTGTTTGCGCCCAGTCCTCCAAACAAGCCTCCTCCCGTTGTTCCGCTCTGTTGTTGCTGTTGACTCTGGGCATTTTGACCAAACAGGCCACCACCTGTTGCTCCGCTCTGCTGATTCTGTGCTGTAGACTGTCCAAACAGCCCGCCTGTCGTGCCACCCGTGTTGCCTCCTCCAAACAATGAACTGCCACCAGTGTTGGTGGACTGTCCGAAGAGTGACATGACGCTTCGTTATCGATAAATACCGTCGGAAAAAAAGCGATCGTGTTTCCTCGGGCTGTATGAAGTGCTGGTGACAGACGAAATGTCTAAATACGTGGTTGAGAAAATATGAAAAAGCCTGGTCAACAAACAGAGAAAGGCGGCGCGTTTGGATCTAGAAATTTAGGAGTGGGCCAAGGCTGGGATGAGATCCTTGGAGGTGAAGCTTTGTCCAATCAGAGAAAGTGTTTGATCCTAGGCAACGCTAGGCAAACTGCAGAGTCAATGCTTAGAACTCCAGCTTTCAGCCAGTAAATGTCAAGCTGGAAATGGATGTTTGTGATACACCAACATAAAGCATTGTAATTAACAAAGAAAGAAATCAATTATTCTATTTTCATTCACCCTTTTCAGGGATACGCCTTCGTATCTACGTACGTATGATCATTAAATTACTGGCCTTTATACCAAATTCCGACGCCAATTGCCCAAATCCAGCGCTCTTCAACTTCATATCGTCATCCAATACACAAGCTCAACTCCTAAGCACCATTAGGAGCACCATTGACACGTGCCTTCTTGGAAGCCACCTTGTCAATCTTGCTGCGGTATTCTTGCTGTGTCTTGCACATGTCCAGGAAGATTTCATACTTGGCATCAAGAAGAGCCTTCTCATCCTCGTTGGTGCTGGGATCGACCAGTCGACCTCGCTTGCTCATGCGATCCATGATGCTCCAGAGAGACTCAGGCTCACTGCCCTCCTTGGCATGGCTTGCTGCCTTGGCGCCGAGCATGGCAGCACCGTGAACGACAGCAGCATTGACGTAACGTGGGATGAGGACAGGCATGCCGCAGGCGGTTGCTAGAAGGTTCATGAGAACGGGGTTCTGGCACTGGGAGCCTGACATGAAGATGGAGGAGATCTCGTGGCCGGCATTGTTCATCTGCTCGATGATTTGGCGGGTCTGCAATGCGATGAATTCCATGGTGGCATAGTACCAAAGGGCCATGTTGTCGGTGCTCTTGTCGCTGTCCAGTCCAATCATGCTGCCTTTCATGTTGGGATCAGCGATTGGTGAGCGATTACCCCAAAGGTCACCGTAGAAGAAGTGGTGACGGCCAAGGTATGAAATCGAGGGAGCATTATGCTTCTCAACCATTAACTCAAGGTGAGCGTTGAGGAAGTCATAGATGTGCTTGTCTTCAGCCTTGGCAAGGGCGCACGTCTCATTGTAAGCGGGATGGATATCGAGCATATGTCGCAGAAGCTCTCCAGTCGCGGACTGACCACCTTCAGCCATCCAAAACTCGGGCAGGAGGACATCGCGGTAAGGACCCCAGACACCAGGTACAAAGACAGGTTCCTTGGACAGAGCCAAGTGGCATGTGGAAGTTCCTGCAACAGCAGCCAAGCGAGTGAAGGCTTGGGCAAGGTCATTGTGGGGTACAGCAGCGTTGAGCTCGTCGTCTCCAAGATCGACCTTAGCGCCCACAGTTCCGATCCAACCTGCATATGCGTCAATGACACCGCTGCCCACAGGGATGCCCATGGGAAGACCGAGTTGGTTCGCGGCTAGTCGACTCAGAGTGCCTACAGGCTCGCCAGCGCTGACATAGGTTCCGTTCTGCGAATTTGATGGTTAGCTTCTGGTGTATGAAAAGAATGGAGCAGATAAAGCAAGGGGAGAAAATATGAAAAAGGCTCACCACCCCGTTGACACCACCCATCTGCTTGAAGTCGTCCTTGGTAAGATCGTCAAGACCAATCTCATGGTAGAAGTCTTCTTGCCAACCCTTGACGCTACCATCGACACCCACTGGGACGAAGCCCTGCTTGCAGACAACGCTGCAGTAGCTACGGGTCTCGTTGCCAGTAGCCAAGTGGGTGAGAGCATCAGCAAGATCATAGAACTTGGCACGTGCGAACAGCTCAGGCGGCATGTGGTTCTTGAGCCAGAGCACCTTTGGCATCTCCATCTCAATGCTCATTTTTCCACCAACATATTTGAGAAGCTTGTGCTTAGTGTTGTTGATCTTCTCGGTCTCTTCGACAGGTCTGTGATCGAGCCACAGGATGACGTTGCGGTCATTGCCATCATTTGTGAAGTCTGGGCCGGTGACGGGGAGCGGCTCGTCGGTGTCGTGGGTGAAGACGGCAAGAGAGCAGGTAGCATCAAAGCCAATGCCCTTGATGCTCGAGGGGTTGACTGTGGACTCGCTGACGACGCGGCGGACACATTCGCAGATGCATTGCCAGATGTCTGTGGTGGATTGTTCCTAGAGGAGTCAGATTATGATGGGTATGGGATTGCGAGTGCAGCTTACGTAGTAGCCAGTCTCAGGCTGCCATAGCTTGATGTTCTCAGAGGCCAGAGCCTTGATATCACCAGTTTCGTCAATGATACAAGCACGAGCAGAGCCAGTACCGACATCGACACCGATGTAGTGATCCTACACAAAACAAGTCAGTCATGACACAATGTTAACCTTTACAACCGCCACCAACGGTTGAAGGGTGTATCTCGATGGACGCATACCAAAACTTGAGGAGGTCTATCCATTGCGACGAAGGTGAATTAGCAACTTTGCCTGGAATGTGAGAGAACGGCGAGATGAAGAGGAACCTACTCCATGACTTTGATGGGCTTATGGTTGCTATACATAGTTTTATTTCAGGATCAGAGTGAGACAACGTTTATTTTGTCCGATGAATAAGCTACAAGGCTTGGGCCGGGTAAAGCAAGATTCCCAAATGGGGAAGACGATGAGTGAGCGAGAGAGGGGAAGAAAGATTCGAAGAGGTGTGAGGCAGAAGCACAAGGCCGAGAAAGGAGGCGTCGTCTGAGGCGGAGGTGTCACCCCGCGAAAAGCAATAAAAGCCTGGAACTTTGAGTAGCTGAGGGTGTGTAGCCAGTTATGGATCGGATCACTCAGTCTTAGCTCGAGATGGACTGTAATGCTTCGTAACTCAATTCATAAACATGAATAAACAGATGACGTTGGTCTCTGAGGACAAGAGAAGAGACCTCACTCATATATATCTATGATCTAAACAATTGAATCGACCATCAGACGATGTGGAGCCTCCTCCCAAAAATAAGCTCGTGGAACACTTTTTATTATGGACTCTCTTCCTCTCGGCATCTCGCGATTCACCACCACCAAAAAAAAAAAAAGAGAGAGGCCAGTCATGATGGGGAGAGAGCTCCATTGTTTGCCCATGATGGATGGGAGCTTTGACATGTTCTGAGCCCGGGGAACCCCCACCAAAACCCACTATTTTCAGGGCGGGGATGCTCGGGATGCATGAGCCTAGAGTGAGGAGGACGTGGGAGGCAAAGCCGGAGGGTGTGCTCTGGGAATTCAGGTGTGTCTATTGAGATACCAAGAGCTCTAGAAGCTGAGAATCGCTGCAGGTTCTCCCAAAGATGGAGAAGCTCTGCAGCCCAGAGTTGTGCTGAATGTCAATGCTACTATTCAGTGGCGTCCTCAACAGCATCACTCTCAGAGATTCTCTACTCTTTTTCTTCTCTTGAACCGTTCAAAATGTTGCTGCCTGAGCTTAGGTGGGGTTCCCAAGCCACCCAGAACGGTCCATCAGTCCATCTCCAGGCTAGTGATAGATTTCATGATCTGCCATTGCCATTATGAGAACTCATGATGAACAGCAACAGCATCAAATAAAAGGTGTGTAGATAGAGTACGCCTTGGCAAGAGAAACAAAAAGCAAAGAAGACTATTCCTTGCTTCGTTGATAGCCAATCATGAGACCCGATGTCCAAGAATCCATTGACTTGCGAATTGCATATCACAAACATCGGTATTCACCATATCCATCTAGGTTTAAACCACATGGAATTTGTTGACGACGATGCCCAGCTCAACAGTTTATTACCCCTTGAACGACTGCCTAACCTAACTAAACCTAACCGTTGGCACCAAACTCTAGGTATAGCAGTACTCTGAGACTTAGAGTAGAAACTGTCTAAGCGACTCTCACGATACGATCGACGCATCTCCACCACAACTAACCAAAAACACACCGCCCACTTGGTCTCTTTCTCTCTGATAATAGTCCGTAGTAAGATGATATGATGTGGCGTAAACTTCCATCCTCTTCTCTCGGCCGAAGCGGGCGGGGTGGAAAACACGAGAAACAGCAAGACAAGAGAAAAACTCTTGGTGTCCGATGACCTCCAAATGATCCTGGGACAGGGATCATCTGGCCTCCACTGTATCCGGCAATTCCTATCATCCATCCCGAGGGGTCGGTCTAGCGCACTTATAGCGTTGCAGCACATTACAGCGGGATGCTGAAACTGTTCCAGCCATCAGGTCCGGAATTCCAGATCCGGCTCATCCGTGATGCATGGAGCAATTGGCCAATGGGATCTGATGATCTTCGCTCACCGAGATCTTGTGACTTGCTTGGCTGTGTCTTGTGCGGTGAGTATCACCTTGCATCTGGTCACCTTGATAGGATAGGATAGGATAGGTCAAGATAAGTTACACGATGGTCAACGAAATGCAATCATGCTATGCTATGCTATCTTTCCTTCTCCAAATGCTATTATCTTACAACCCATGAGCTGATGAGCCTTCAACTAAACATGCATATGCAGTCAACATTATCACATGAGACAATCTCCTCAGCTCTGAAGGACATGTTCTCTCAACCATCACGCCAGATCAACCCTCAACATCTATTACAGGCAACACACCGCTCGCATCCAATTCCCCCTTCTTGAGTTTTTGCTGCCTCTCCCTGGTCTTTCTTACTGAAACACAAACTCCCCTGACCATGCCTAAATCACTCCCGGCAGTCCATATCACAACCCATTGCTAGGCGTGGGACCAAATACCTATACATAATTCATAAATTCGTCACTCATTATTGGGATACTCCTGGCCTTCTACCAGGATCACCACTGTCAGCGTTGCCGCGTACGCTTCACGAATGGCACATGCCATACTGCATCCTCGTTAGCAACAGTCCAGTGCACCTCTGTCACGTTGTATTAGACTTACCATGTTCTCCGAACATCGGCCACCACGGCACTGAGACCCCAGTGAGAACACCATGCTCGTGCCAAGACCTCGTTATCGCGGACTCCGAACGCTTCCACCACGAGAACCTTTTCATCGTCGTTCTCATCTTCTTCCTCGAGTGCACCAGTCTGCATGAAACCGTTTAATGGTGCGTGGTTGTGGTTGAAGCTCTGACTGAACATATCTCGGTAGGGACCTCGCATCATGCCTGGTCCTGGGCTTGATCGCACACTATGCAATTGAGGTCCCCCATACAAACCTCCCCAATCTCGCACTCCAACGATGGAATCTACACGGATCGACGTGTAGACGTAGTCAAAGAAGAGCGGATGTGGCCCATCAGAGCAGGGCCACGCGGCCACGAATGAGACATCGTACATGAGTTTCAATGGCCATGACACGCCATCAATGGCAAACTGCACTGTTGCGTCAAACAGTCGCGAAAGCCCTGCCGCAGTAGGGGCATCCCCAGGTCCATCTGCTGGCTTGAGACTTAACAGCTCTATCCGTACCGTGTCAATAGCATCTTCAGGACCGCCTTTCGGGCGCACTGGCTGGTAATCCTCTACTGGGTATGAATCGGCGGCAGGTCCAAGCGGGTCAGAACGCTCCGCCATCGACTCGACATCCTGGGGGCTCATCCGCTGTATCGGTTTCCGGCTTCGAATCCGCGCGATCTGGGTCGGGTCAAGATCTTTGGTAGGGCGCGCAGGGCCGATCCAACCAGCAACTGCGTGACATGTAGGTGCTAGAACTTTACCCACGATTGAAGTTGCCGACCAATATGTGTAGCTGTTCTTGTACTGAAATCCGCAGTGAGGGTGCATGTGTGAAAGAAGCGCGAGGTTATCAGTTGCACTGTCCGGATCAAGGTCAAGGAGAGTGTTCATTATGAGAAAGGGAAACGTTTGCTATTCGCAGTCAGCCTCTACTCATGGACAGAAAGAACCATTTGGCGATCAGTAGGCAGGAAGACTTACACCAGGAAGCACAAGACCACTGAAGAAGGCAAACGCATCAGAGCTGACCTCATCCAGAGCCAATTCCGAATCCTTCTGTTTCATATTATCAAGGGTATCGGCTAGGTTGGGCCATCTCATCATCTGAGCAAAGCGCCGCAACATCCTGATTTGCCGCTTCTTTAACTTATACCGAAGAAGAACTGGAATAATATTAGCAACAAACTCTCGTCGACATCGAATCTTGTCACTCACTCTCTTCAGGTGTCTTGCCAACATCGTCAACACGCACGAAATCTTGCCAACGACGAGCCAGGGCCAGATTCCACTGTATTGACGGGGGTATTTGTGATGTCAACTTCTCCTTTGCCCAATCACTATGCTGGTCTGACTGAATGCGCAACTCAAGCTCTAGACTCAGCAGAAGTTGGTGAAAGAATTTGTGAAACTGCTCCTCGTTCCCGGGGCTTCTGTCGAAGATAAAGCGTGTAGCAACTTGGTTACGGGGGTTACTAAAGTCGATCCAGTCCGGGCGAGAAAGAACCATGATAAGGTCCGTAATCTGCTTGTCAAGGGTCTTGTGAGGGTTAAGAAACTTCTCAGGATCCCTCAAAATACGTTTATAAAGAACGCGATAAAGCAAAGACTCGTCATCGTCCTCAATACCATGCCGTAACTCCTGCAATCGATCAAATATACTTTCAAGACTCATGGTGCGAGGCATGACTCCCGCATCTCGAAGAGCAATTGTAGGTGGAAGAACACTGGACATTGAAGCCCATTCGTTTAGTGTGATGGTTCCAGGTAGGTGACCAAAGAAGAAGGCGAAACTCGGTTGCTCGAGGGTCTCCCATGGCCGGTCTGCGTAACCATGGCCTATCAGGCGCAACGTCATGAGCTGTGTCATGGAGTCATGGAGGTTAGAAACATCGGTATTGTCAGAAGACTTGCCATCACCTCGATTCCCACTCGATGTCGTATAAAGAGCGTAGAATTCTTCGGGTTGGTGCGGTATAGGTCGTTTGTGGCCTTTATGCGAGGGAGCACCACGAGCAACTAGCTCCAGTGCGTGTTGATGAGGTAGTTCATCGTTCATAGAAATACCATAAGGTGGCCATGCTGATTGAGGGTCTCGAGCGCGAACCGGACGTCCGTTCGACGGTCTAGATCCGTTCGATGCGCGGGACTTGTTAAGAAAGCCGGACGACTTGGACCGTATTGGAGAAGACCGGGGTTCAGGTTCGGGTTCGGGTTGTCCTCTTTTCGGTCTGCGGCGCATGTTGGACTCGTCTTCAGCAGTCGGAGGACGCTGACTATCGTAGGTAAGATCGGGAGCTGAACCAATACTTTGGCGAAATGGCGCATGGCCTACGTCGCCATTACTAGCACGGCGAGGACGATGGTATTCTCTAGGCTCAAGGTCTTTTGGCTGTAAGTGACAATATTAGCGATATGCTCAACGTTATACCTCGGCGAGATCGGAGCTGTAGCTATAGCTCCATGGGTGTTACAGCTGGAGCTCGAGCTCGGGAACCGAGGTTTCCGATGCGAAGAGCCCCGAATAGAGCTTCAGGAACATGCATCGACGCCACTATGGTCGCTGATACTGTTGCTGTTACGTACCGGAGGTTTCGTCGAATGTCTTCTGGAGCTGGCCCTTCGGAGCATACTCCATAGACCCTTCTTTTCGCCCTGATCCGTCATGATGTCATCAGGCGCAGCGCGACTCCAACGCGACAATCGTTATTGAAGAAGTTGAAAAACTCAGAAGAGGCGCATAAAGTCGAGAGTCGCAAAGGCGTGGTCGCGACGCCTAAGACGCGCTGAGAGATAAGACACGGAGAATTAAATGAGCGTGGAAAGTATGATAGACAAGGGTTCCCGTTAGCAAGCAAAATTGACGTTGCACATGATTGACGATGTGATGCTATCCCCGGCTCTTTTTCCTTCAAAGCACGACAAAAAGAGTAAAAGTTGTCGAGTTTGTTTCTCTGTGGAAGAAAAAAGAAAGAGAATGGAAGCGCCCTGCGTTGAGTTGAGGCAATGCGCAAGCAAAGCAACAGGGGGACCCCACGCCAGCCTGTTCCCTTTTTTTTAGTGGCGCGTCCTGCAGCAGATTGGCGATGAAATGGTTAATCCGAGGCGGTCGAGATTCGAGGCAACCCAATGGTTGTTGTATCGAGATATATAATAAGAGGGATCGGATATAGTAGAAGTTGAGTTTAGAGGTGGTTGGAGGTTGAAAGTCAATCACAACGTTAGAGGGGAAGCTCCAGTAACAAAGTCGCTATAGGAACTACCAGCTGTTAAGTTATACTTCTAACGGAAAGTGTCTGATGCACAGCCGAGGGGACGCGCAGCCAACATGCAGCCATTCCGAGATATCCAATTGTTCACTCACCGCGATACCCTCAGTATTCTCTCTGAGTAACTGCACTGGCGCCAAGACATCACACTATGACCTTGACAATCTACAGCTTAATTGCCATGTCTGATCAATCAATCAATCACTCAACCAAACCCTCCAGTTTCTCTCTCTTTCTCTCTCTGCCGAGGTGTCACACTTCGTATAAACCTGCATGACCAGCCCCAGACCTGCATGCAGCTTCTCAGGGGCATCCAAAACTTGCATAGAAACACCTACAACACAGACAATTAAACTGCTTAAAGGCATCTATTGCTAGTAATAGCCAATCCTTTCTCTAAATGATCATGCAAAACACCAGCGAGTATGCAGCATCCAACGCCCATCCTATCAAAGCTCGTGTAGAACATATTATACACCCTCCATCTCTTTCGCTCATCCTCCCTGGAATTACTTCAGATCTTCAGACAGAAGCTCTCCCAGGCTATTCTGACCATCCTTGAATTTTCCAAAGGCCTCCCGATACTGCAACAATCATTAGTTTCAATCGACCACGAGAGGGAAAATATCACTTACCGCAAAGAAAAAGTTGAGAATAAGCACAAGCATCAGTGAGCCACTGATAATCATGGGTCCGATCATGTTGTCAAAGTCCTTACCGCTTCGCTCCACGATCATGGTTCGTCTGATTCTCAGCATTGCATAACCCCAGATGCCGGCAAAGACAGCGATGAGGACAAACAAGAGACCAACGACAGAAGCAAGTGTGTTCTCGCCAGCTGCTGTGTAAAGACCAACAGCCAGGCCGCCCTGAAGGATACAGATATGCTGCCACTTAAGGAAAGTTCGCTCGTTGGCAAGCCAAACCTTGGGCTCAACCTTGAGCTCGCCCATGTTCTTGATCCATTCTGTCGGCGCAACTACACCCTCTGGCAAGGGCTGTTGAGATGCCCGCTTCGCCCTCGAGTACTTGGACAGTGAGAATCCGGGGATAACAGATGAGAGCGTCCCATAGGACCGCTCTTGCTCTGATCGTTGCTGTGTACTGCTCTCGCCAGCTTCCTCTCCGTTCGCGAGAGTAGACGTCCGCCTGTCAAGAGCTTGGGCGATTGAATCCTTCGACATGCGTTCGGCCAGATAAGACTTGCTGACTGGTGAGCTTTGGGTGGGCTTATAGGATCCAGACTTAGCTCCAGCTCCAATCAGACTTCCCACAGCCATAACATCCTCATGCCGTTGAGCACGTCGCTGCTCCTCCTCCTCAAATGTCTTCTGAGGGTCCTTTCGGATATCGGACTCGAGGTCACTGAGCCAGAAAGGCAAGTTGTTGACGTAGTCCTCGAAGAGAGCTGCAATACCATGGACAAACTTGGAGAAGCGAGGGGTAGGGTGAACCAAGTGGGAGGACATCAAATCCTCAACCCATGTCGGGTGCTTTCGCTGACTATCCTCCTTCAGCTTGATCTCAAGAAGGGCATAAGGGAAACGGTTGACCTCGCTTTGGTTCATCTTTTTGAAGGGGTAAGTCATCTCACTTTCATCAATGTCAAGACGATGCCACTCATTGGGATCACGGCAGGGGCGGCTGGGATCAAGAGTGTCCTCACGGATGAATGCCACATCGGTATCGATGGCAATGCGAATACGATCATCAGCAGGCTTCTGGAAAGCGGTTCGAACATAGTTGGCCCTTAGAACAGGGCTAAGACCCTTCTCCTTGACGTATTTTTGGATGTTGTTGACAGTCTCCTGGAATTGCTCAATCTTTTCAGGGGCAAAGCTCTGTCTCTTCATCTTCTGGATCGCCTTCTCAGGGTTGTATTCGCCATCCACAAATGACTTGACATATTTGTCCTTGATTGTGAACTTGAGGTCCTGGCTGCCACCCTTGTCATCGACAGTCTTTTGCTCAACGAAAATTTCGGGACGAGTAGCCAATTGTCCATACCAGCGAAGTCGCAGGGACGTTGCTTCGGATTTGCGGTTGACCTTCTCACCATAAAGCTCGAATTGCTTATTATCAAAGTACAGCGAAGTGATAGACGGAGAGTCGCTGCCATCAAGCTCCTTGGCGGACTGCTCGCTGTAAACAAGGGCTGGTAGATGTCGAAGGATGACAGTCTTGACCTCGAGCAGGTTATCAGGATGGACCCAGACTATAATCAAGTTAGCATAGTACAACAAAGATGAAGGCGTCTGGAATTTGACTTACACTTGTGAGCTGTATAGCGCTCGCCATTGTGAGTCTCGCCTTGAGACTCAAGATCCAGGGGTGGCAGCTGCTCTCCGCCATCCTCGAGTTGTTGCCTAATGGCAAAGTACATGATGGACAGCTTGTTGAGTAGCGGGGAGTAACCAGTCTCAGAGTTGAAGGGTCGCTGAGAAAGGCTCAACTGCATCATAGGTCGGACTTTGTAACGGTCTCCTCGCTTCCGGTCGTGCTTCTTAATGATCTTGAGGAAGCCAGTGTAGTTGATGTTGCTGTACTTCTTGAGCTCGCGGACTTCATTAGTGATCTCGTCAAGCTCTGATTCCAGAGTGCGCAAGCGGGAAGCCGAGATCTCGCCCTTCTGAGGAGCTCCATCGCCCTCCGAGGACTCGACGGGAGCCAGTTCCTTGAGCTTATCAAAAGCAGCGTCAACTCGTTCCTTAAGAGCGTTAAAGCGTTGCTCTTGGAACTGAGCGACCTTCTCGAGCTGGTTGTTGAAGATCTCTTCGCAGAAGCGAGTCTCGTCCTCCTCGGTCCACGGCTGGTTATCATCATCGGCCACATCCTCCCTCAACAAGCTCTTGAGCTTCGCATAGTCGATGTACTTGTCCTTCCATGGCGGATAGATGGACTCGCGGAGGGTCCGACCGAAGCGCATTGTGGGTGGATAGCGATTGGAGCTTTACGGCAAGATAGGCCAATTATCTCCAAGCAGGCGACCAACAGGATGCTATGTAGGCCGAGATAGACCGTCGAGAGATCGTACCTGAGACAAAGGTAAAGCGTTGAGGAATTCGGAATAGGTTCAATTGCGGCGCATGACACAATGATGATGCAGTTCCGTCAAGAGCGGAGTATAGTTTCGAGACGCGGCAATGGAGACGAGACGGTTGAAGAGAGATGATGTTGTCTAGAGATGCTAGACTCGCGACAAGAAGGATACACGGCGATATTAGGGATGACAATCGAAGTTTGTTGTTGTGGCGTGCGAAGATGAAGGTGCACGATAACACAAAATAAGTTACAGTTGTAGTTTCAAGAAGTTGAACGAGAAAAAGGCTGGGCAACAATGGATCAACAGGCTGACTGCCCTGGACCCGGACCTAGACCTGACGCCAGGACCCCACTAGCGGAAAGCAAGGCAGTGAACGTTAGACCACCTACAGCATGGGCAGCATCCACTCACTACAGAAACAGCTCTTCAGCGGCTCTTCGGTGTCCAAAACAGCTGCTGGAACTAACCCTCGGCGGGAAATGGAACCGTAACAGACCCATAACCCGCTTGAAACGACCTGACAGCTTGATACCCGTTTCGCCTCGGTTCTGTTAACCCATGTTGAATTTGTCTCCAATTGCCCTATCAGAATCCACCACTTACACACGTGTTGCCGTGGATGCATCTAAAATCTAGGTGCATATCATTCCCGTCTGTCTAATCCCTGCTTCTGCGTGCATTCATGTGTCTCCATCTACGCACGTGAAGAGAATTGGCCGAATAATCTCAGTTCATGGCATCAAACAATTTTTGTTGGTGAAAGCTGAAGAATTTTCGGGTATGAAAGACTCTCAAGATTCTTCGTATTCAGGCTCTGTCATGGCATGTCACTACAGAGTATCTTTACGGTAAAAAATTGGCTTTTGACTAGAGTTTGCAGCTAAACCAGATTCGAATAAATCATTTCCTTAGCAACGTCGATAACACGTGAGTTACAGAGTACATTGGATTGCATTGCTCAAACCTCCAGCCTCAATATCACCAACAGGCTCGATGCTTGTTCTCTTGGTGACTGCGTCGTTGTCTTGTTTACCAATCAAATGTCTCTTGTGAGTATGCGACTTGACCTCAAGTTGACAAGAGGGCACGCGACCTGTCTCTGATGCGAATTTGACGTCTCATTTCGAACTCGGGATCTAGCCAATGACAGGTGTCGATGTATACACGCATGAACACAGAAAACGACACTGCATCTCCGGGCTTCCTCGGCGAGACAACGTTTCATGGAGAAGTGCCGCATGGTCTCTGGCTCTGAGACTTCATTTCTTAGGGCCAAAAGACTAAGGAATCATAAACTTTTACTAAGTTTAGGATTACCTTTATAAGACTTTCCTAAACATTTTCTTAATCTCCCTAAAACATCACAAAAGCGAGAATGGTCAAATCAAATATTCTGATAGCCCGTCGTAGCCAACAGTCATTCAAATTGGTATAAATAAAAACATCCATTATTCCTGAACAGACACCTTTTATCATATCCGATTCCATGGTCATGGTATCATCCTGTATCCGATCCGTTGCTCCTGTGCCCCAAAGAGAGAATAAATAACGAAACTATGCAAATTTTATTCAAGCCTCGACCTTGATCTGGCTGAAAATCTCCTGCGCAGTGCGCTTGGTGATACCACCAGTAACGGGCAGGTTGGTGTACTTCTCAAGATAAAGATCAATCTCGCGAGCAGCCTGGCGACCTTCGTTGATACCCCTGAGACATTTGTTAGTGACGTTTCTTCAAGTGGACAGATGTAGTTAAAACTTACCAGACAATGAGAGATTGTCCGCGGCGGGCGTCACCAGCAGCGAAGACGCCCTCGAGGTTGGTGCTGTACTTGCCGGGGGCAGTCTTGACGTTCTTGCGAGCATCCTTCTCGATCTCGTCACCAAGAACACGAGCCTCAGGTCCAAGGAAACCCATGGCAAGGAGGACGAGGTCGGCAGGGAAGAACTGCTGAGAGCCCTCAACCTTCTTCATGTCCCAACCACCGCTAGGAGACTTGGTCCACTCCACGCGGATGGTGTTGATGCCCTTGACCTTGCCAGAGCCGTCATCCATGAACTCCTCAGACATGATGCAGTACTCACGAGGATCCTTGCCAGTGTGCTGGCGAACCTCAGTGTGACCGTAATCAACACGGTAGATACGAGGCCACTGAGGCCAAGGGTTGTCGTTGGCACGCTCAGGAGGAGGCTGAGGCAGAAGCTCGAAGTTGGTGACGGACTTGGCACCGTGACGGAGAGAAGTACCAATACAATCGTTACCAGTGTCACCACCACCGATGACCACAACGTCCTTGCCCTTGGCGGAGATGTAGGTGTTGTCAGCAAGCTCGGAGTCAAGGAGAGACTTGGTGTTCTTGTGGAGGAACTCCATAGCGTAGTGAATACCCTCGAGCTGACGGCCCTTGATAGGAAGGTCGCGAGCAACAGTAGCACCAGTTGCAATGACGACTGCGCTGTTGCTGGCTCGGAGGTCGTTGAGAGAGGGGTGACCCTCCTCGCCAACAGCAACGCCAGTCTTGAAAATAATACCCTCAGAGGCCATGAAATCGGTACGGCGCTTGACAATACGCTTGTCGAGCTTCATGTTGGGAATACCATACATAAGAAGACCTCCAAGACGGTCAGCTCGCTCGTAGACAGTAACGAGGTGACCGGCACGGTTGAGCTGATCAGCAGCGGCCAGACCAGCAGGGCCGGATCCAATGATCGCGACAGTCTTGCCAGTTCGGACCTTGGGAGGCTGAGGAACCATCCATCCCATCTCGAAGCCACGGTCAATGATGGCGCACTCAATAGACTTAATACCAACAGGGTCCTCGTTGATACCTAAGACACAAGCACCCTCACAAGGAGCCGGGCAAACACGGCCAGTGAACTCGGGGAAGTTGTTGGTCATGAGAAGACGGTTGAGAGCATCCTTCCACTGGTTCTGGAACACCAATTCGTTCCATTTAGGGATAATGTTGGAGATAGGGCAACCAGTCTCGGACTGACAGAAAGGAACACCGCAGTCCATGCAACGGGCTGACTGGTATTTGAGCTCGTCCTCGTCCAGACGAGAGCTCAGCTCAGCCCAATCCTTGAGACGAGAGTTGACAGGTCGGTACTTCTCCTGGCGGCGCTTGTACATCTTGAAGCCTCGAGTCTTGTCGAGAACAAGGGCACGCTTCTTCTCGGCAGCGTTGTCACCAACAGCCTCCTCGAGATCCTGGAGCTTGGCAACCTTCTCGGACTTCTTGTGCTGGACGCCAGAGACAGCAGGAAGGTTGTACTCGGCACGCTTGGCCTCAGCAGCCTTGGCAGCCTCTTCCTCGAGGACACGCTTGTAGTCGACAGGGAGAATCTTGATGAACCGAGGAAGAGCTCGGTTAAAGTCAACCAGGATGCGAGCTGCGCGCTCGGAGCCAGTGTAGTGGTGATGATCCTCAATGAGACCGCGAACGAAAGCAATCTCAGCAGGGTCCTCAAGACCACTGGCCTCGACCATCTCGCCGTTGAGCTTGGAGTGGAAATCACCATGAACATCCAAGATGTAGGCAATACCACCAGACATACCAGCAGCGAAGTTGCGACCAGTAGATCCAAGAACAACAACGCGACCGCCAGTCATGTACTCACAACCGTGGTCACCAACACCCTCAACAACGGCGGTAGCACCTGAGTTTCGTACAGCGAATCGCTCGGCAGCAACACCACGGAAGAAGCAAGTACCAGTAGTAGCACCGTACAAGCAAGTGTTGCCAATGAGGATGTTCTCCTCCGACTTGAAGACAGCGGAGCGGGGAGGGTAGATGATCAGACGACCACCAGACAAGCCCTTGCCGACATAATCGTTGGCATCACCCTCGAGCTCAAGAGTGACACCAGGAGCGAGGAAAGCACCGAAAGACTGGCCAGCGGAGCCCTTGATGTTAACATGGACAGTGTCCATGGGCAGTCCAGCCTCGCCGTACCGCTTGGAGATGTGGTAAGAAAGGGAAGTACCCATTGCTCGGTCAGTGTTGACGATGTCACACTCGATTCTGGAGGGGAGACCCTTGTCGAGAGTCAACTCAGACTCGGAGATAAGCTTGTTGTCGAGTCGGACGTGGAGCTTGTGGTCCTGCTTTCGGACGTTGAAGGTGGCAACACCAGGTCGGAGCTTGTGTGCGGGTGTCAGGAGGAGAGACAGGTCAATGTTGGCTGTCTTGTTGGTTCGAAGATCATCACGCATCTTGAGGACCTCGACGTGACCAACCATCTCGTTGATGGTTCGGAAACCAAGCTGGGCCATGATGGCTCGGAGCTCGTTGGCAACATAGTAGAAGAAGTTGATGACGTGCTCGGGAGTTCCAGTGAACTTCTTGCGAAGCTCAGGATCCTGGGTAGCGATACCAACAGGGCAAGTGTTCAGATGGCACTTGCGCATGAAGACACAGCCCATAGCGATGAGAGGAGCGGTAGCAAAGCCCCATTCTTCAGCACCAAGCAGACAAGCCAGGGCAACATCACGGCCAGTCTTGAGCTGGCCATCAGTCTGGACAACAACACGACCACGAAGATCGTTAAGTACCAGAGTTTGGTGAGTCTCAGCCAGACCTAACTCCCAAGGGAGACCAGCGTACTTGATACCAGTCCATCGAGAGGCACCAGTACCACCATCGTGACCAGAGATCAGGATGTGATCAGCTTTGGCCTTGGCGACACCAGAGGCGACGATACCGACACCGACCTCAGACACAAGCTTGACGGAGACTCGGGATCGAGGGCTGGAGCACTTAAGATCGTAGATCAGCTGCTTGAGATCCTCAATGGAGTAAATGTCGTGGTGAGGAGGAGGCGAGATAAGACCGACACCAGGGGTGGAGTGACGGGTGCGAGCAATAGACTTGGACACCTTGTGGCCAGGAAGCTCACCACCCTCACCAGGCTTGGCACCCTGAGCCATCTTGATCTGAAGCTCGTCGGAGTCAGCGAGATAGGCAGAAGTGACACCGAAACGTCCAGAAGCGACCTGCTTGATGGCAGAACGCATGGTGTCACCGTTAGGCATACGCTGAGACCGCTCGGGATCCTCACCACCCTCACCAGTGTTGGACTTGCCACCAAGACGGTTCATGGCAACGGCAAGAGTAGAGTGAGACTCCATGGAGATGGAACCGTACGACATGGCGCCAGTGCAGAAGCGACGGACGATGTCAGTCCAAGGCTCGACCTGGTCGATAGGGACAGGAGTGCAGTCCTCAAACTTGAAGTCAAGAAGACCACGGAGGGTACAGTTCTTGATCTGCTCATACTCGGAGCGGGAGT